TGTAGGGCGGTATTGGTGCCATAATATGAGCAAATCACGTTATACACGTGACATCAACAGAAGGCAACACTTATGGAATACGTAATTCGCTTTCGCTTCGCTTCCGAAATCGCAATCAATATCCAGGGTCTACGTCGACAATCTCCGTTCAGGATCAGACTTGCATAACTTAGCGCGTCCTGTTTCGTAGAGCCATAGGGACCCTCTACTGCCCTACCCGTAAGGCGTCTGTAGATATGCAATAAATTACATGTATGTATTCGATGCTGCAATTCGTGCACCTGATCGATGTATGGAAAACGTGGCACTCGATCTGTATGCAGCATTGTTCCGGCCACAATTCCATGTGAAATGCGGGGTCCTATCTCGATATCGACTTTAACCGTTCTCAGCTTCTTTCCCGTGATGGTATATATTATTTGTACACGCTGTCATGCACTGAAGCCACTTTCAGAGTTTTGATGATTACTTCGAGATTGGCGGGCCTACCAGAGTTGCCACAAAACCGCTAGATCTTCTGCCCGAAGCCAGAGAGCTGGATATGAAAGTAAACTAATACAAGCAGTGGTCCCCAGTACCATTGTGTTTTTACTCGTAGTCCCTGCAGCGCCTCCCTCCTGACCTCATCCGCTTGTACAAAGGCTTAGGTGCTCTGACACCATATTATATGATTAAATATATGTTGAAATAGTACACTGAGGGACTATACAGCATGTAAAATAGATGGTGTATCTTTTGCAAAGATAAATGGAACTATGAATATAGTGCCAGAAATGGAATTGTAAAACTGTCTGATCTCTTCATACATAGAAAGAAGCCCATATTTATAGGCTTCTTCTTCCTCCCCTGGAATCCATCGATTTGTAATAGAAACAGAAAGAAAAGCAGTGATAGCACTGAATGCAGCCCGAATTGAAACGACTCCCTGTGATACAACAAACTGGCGGTTGTATACAGGAATTAGTGGTGTAGACGGCAAGCTGCATCAACGCGCTAATCTCGATTCTGTAGGACCTCGAGGTTCTTGGCATGGGGGTTGCATAGTGATTCGTAATGCATAGAGCATGCCGAATTAGGGTTAGCGTTGAAAGCTCCATGTTAATTACTGAGAATTAACCTGGATTCTCAACAATATATATTGTTGGACTATGCCGGTCATCCCATTGATGCCTTTGTCTAGCCATCTCATTGATGCCTCCATATGTTTGCAGACTGAGCCTGTCTTTGTTAGATGACAGCCTTTGTTTGGCAGGGTATAAATCCCCTGCTTCAGATAGATTGAATAGATCATGATTCTTCTTCTTCTCTCTCTCCCATAGTTAGCAGCCCCAACATATATCCATGGATGGTCAATGATTTAACCTGGTCGGAAAACCACATACTTAAGTAAGCCTTTAAAGGTGTAAATTAGGAGGCCCCGGGGGCACATCACAACGGTCTTGACTGTTAAGGTGACTGACTGTAGAAGCATATATATGTATGTATGTTTTCACACTACCTAATCATTAAAATATGAGAAAGAAAAATGTACTTCCAAAGTTAGTAAATAAGACCATCATTAATCGGCGCATTTAGAGAATTCTAAATAACCTATTTTAACGCACATGGATCACTATAGAAAGTGTAAATGCAATGCAATAGAAAAGAGGCTTACTACGACCTCGGAGTTCAATGATTTGCTGCTTCCACCTGGGCATTCCCCTTTGCGTTACCGCGCCCGGGAAGGTCCAGTACTAGGTACAATAGCGCTGCAAGGGTAAGGTATTAGAGCAACCAATCCCACCCTATGTACATACTTGTTTTGCAAAATGCTATCGCCGTGACTATGCAAACCCATGCTATCTACAGACATTTCTACGTCCATTATCAATTGCTGATCGTGGTTGATTCTTGAAATGCGTCTACTCGAGATTGATGGTTCTGAAATATTGAGCCCAAAAATGTTGTAGATTTCTCGCGGCAATCTCAAATATGCATGGCGCTGCTAGCTGCGTGCGGTCGGGATCCCTTGGTAAATAGACAAACGGCAGACTAGGGGGTCAATTGATCATCGATATACTATTTCCAGGCCCCAGTAGTGTTGTCGAATAAACACTTGATTGCGGGCTATCAGCGGATGAACTGCTACAAATTCCTTGGAACCCTTTATATTAACAATCATTAAGACTGAAGCACATCTCAATATCTACACATGTATCCATGGATCGATCGACCCCACAATCTGTACTCAGATCTAGCTTACCAAATATTCGGCGACCTAGGACCAATCACAAGCCAGACCGCCCAATGGGGAAGTTGACTTATACAATGACCGAACCCATTCGGCATCGGCGATGTTGACAAAGAGACCTCCTATTCTTTGAAATCAGTTTCTGACCATGGCCATTTCCTGCAATCAAAACTTCGATTTCTGGCTTCCGTACTTCTCAATCAACTTTGACTTTGTGCTCCGTACTCAACGTCAACATGTCCGATGCTTCGGACACTAGTACCCAGTCTGTCGAGAAGAAGCAGGGTAGAGGATGGCGCTTCTGGGCAATTTACTTATCACTATGCGTGTCAATCCTACTAGCTGCGGTCGAGTCAACGGTCACGTCAACCGCGTTGCCGTTCATCGCGGATGAGTTGCATGCAGGCAAGAACTACGTCTGGTTTGTCAACTCCTTCTTCTTGACGAGGTAAGTCACATACCATCTTTCAACCCGAGTCAATGAAGAAAATAAATTAACAATACATCCAATGGCAAGTGCTTGCTTTCAGCCCCTTTTCGGACAGACTGCGAATTTCTTTGGTCGACGATGGTTGATGATCGGCTCGGTGGCCTTGTTCGTCCTCGGCAGCGGCATCAGCGGCGGCGCGATCAATTCTCCCATGATGATTGCTGGGCGATCAATCCAAGGAATTGGGGGTGGCGGTATCAATGTAATGATCGATATGATCGTTAGCGATATGCTTCCATTGCGCGAGCGAGGAAACTTCATGGGTATGATCTTCGCCGTGTTCGCCGTCGGCACCTCCCTTGGTCCATTTATTGGGGGTGTTATTGTACAGCATAGTTCCTGGAGATGGGTTGTAAGTATCTAAACCCCGTTTATATCTGTGAGAATGCCAAGGCTAACACGGTTTGATCAAAGTTCTATCTCAACCTTCCTATTGGCGGAACGGCGATCATCTGCCTGGTTTTCTTTCTCCATGTCAACTACCAAAAAGAGCCATGGCAAGAAAAAGTCAAGCGGATCGACTATATTGGCAACGCACTTCTCATGACTTCTATCGTCTCTATTCTCCTCGCTCTCACCTGGGGCGGTACTACCTACGCCTGGTCAAACTGGCGGATCATCGTCTGTTTGGTTCTCGGTCTCATTGGTATGATTCTATTCCACGCGTTTGAGGCCAGTCCATGGTGTCGGGAACCTATGATGCCACCACACATATTCCGACACCGTACTTCATTCGTTGCCTTGGTTGTATCCTTTATCCATAATATGCTTACCTTCTGGGTGATCTACTTTGTACCGGTGTACTTCCAGGCTGTGAAGCTTTCTACCTCCACTCGCGCCGGTGTACAGTTTCTACCTAGTGTGATTCTCGCCGTGCCGACTGCCATTGTCGCAGGTGGCCTCCTTACTAAATGGGGCCGCTATAAGCCTATCCATATCGTCGCTACGGCTGTGATTCTCCTAGGATTAGGTCTCTTTACTCTCTTCGATGCCCACTCTAGTCCAGCAGAGTGGATCATTTTCCAAATCATCACTGCAATTGGCTTGGGTCTTCTGCTCACAACCACTCTAGCTGCAGTGCAGGCTCCCCTAGAAGAGAAGGATGTTGGACTCGCGACGGCGACATGGGCGTTTATTCGCAGTTACGGTGCTATCTGGGGAATTGCAATTCCAGCTGCTATTTTCAACACCGAGTTCGCGCGCTTGTCGGGCCGTATTTCAGACCCCGCTGTTTCGGCGCAACTTGCGGGTGCAGAAGCTTACTCTCACGTCTCTTCAACTTTTATTAAGTCACTTGCTCCTCAAGTTCAACGGGAGGTAGTTAGTGTGTACACTGATACCCTGAAGCTGGTTTGGTATGTCTCGCTGGCTTTTGCTGCTCTGGGATTCATCATTACCTTCTTTGAGAAGGAGATGACACTACGGACCGAATTGGAGACGGAGTATGGAATCAAGGATGAGAAGGAAGGCAAGGAAAAGGAAACCGCCGCTGAGGTATAGACAAGGGAGTTTGAAGATTGAAGATGAAGGGTTGGATAAATTAGAGAGTGAAGTTTTCGGTACTGGTTCTATATAATCGCAGATCTTGTTTTGAAAGTTCAAATCCCGAGTACAAAGGACACATAATTAAGGAACGGGAAATTTGACTTTATTTGTAATTTTATCATGTGAAAGTCGTTTCTAGCGAAGACTAAAACCAATGAAGCCCCGGGGCCATCAAATCCTTGTCGTGAGCTTGGCCTACACCCCCTGTTTATGAGTCTTTACCCACTGCCCTGTTTACCACTAAAAAGTGCCGATTTCAGGCCTATTTTCCTCTACGAATTCAAATAGTAATAAATTTTTTGTATCAGATTAACAAAATATTTGCTTCCGAATCACCTAATATAAATAGCTGTTGAGTGGGAACTATATAAATTCCAGTTTCTAAATTGAACCTCAATTATATATAGTAGCCCCATAGTTAACTTTTGACAAAAATCGATTCCAAAACTTTAAAAATTAGCAGCTCGATACAAAAAGTACTTACAGATATAAATTATATATATCTTGCTTTTAGAATTGGCAAATAATTACCATAAAAATGATTTGAAAATAAGTTACTCTATAAATATATAGAGAAAAAAGGGCCTGAAATAGGCACTTTTTGGTGGTAAGTAATTCGCCGGCTGTTTTCTTTTTCTACAAAGTCAAAGCGGTCCTCAAATCTTTAAGGGAAAGCAAAATGTGTCTTGTATTGTGAATTTCTGCGAGTAAATATTTTCCCGTGACATTATACAACTATATGCTCCGGTGAATCCCAAATTGCCGATCCAGAAACGCAACGATCCGATGCTGCGCCAAGCTAAAAGCGCCAACCTTTGCCTGGAGTCCCCCCTCGGCTATATCCTTGCCAACCCAGAGATGTTTTTGACTCTCGGAAAGATGCTTCAATCGGCTAAAAATCTTGTTTGCACTAGGATCCTCTGTCGCGTAGATAGATGCTGCAGCGCCGGTAATCATGACAGGACACTTGACCTGGTGAAGATACTCACCACCATCGGCGGTTTGTAGCGTAAAGTCCTGCATTCGTCGCATAGCATCTGCTGGAGTTTTCATTCCCATGGCCCACTGTACTTGGTTCAACTCCCATTTAAGCTGAAAGTTGAACCTGGAAAGCAGGCCCAAGGTACCATTGAAGACCCCATCGCTCAGCCAGCCTGACGTCCAGGAATTAATGAAAGGAGCTGGCAGGCGGGTAATAGCCACTTCCCACATGGAATAGAACGGGTCCACGGCAATGCAGGCGGAGATTCGTGGGTCGGCTGCGCCTCTCAGCGCATAGTAGCCTCCCAAGGTAGCGCCGTGGAGAGCAACTCGGGTTAGGTCGAGCTCGAGATCAGGATGTTGTGTGGCAAAGGTGTAAAGGAAGTCCAGAACTGGTCCTGTGACGGTTTCCCAGTCAGGTCGCATATATGAATGTGCTTCTCGGCGTAGAACAATGCCTTGGCCGGGTCCTTCAAATATGAGTACCGCGTACCCGAGATCCGGGCCAAATGCTCCGCCAACGAGATAGAGCTCTTCGGCAGTCGAGTCTAAGCCACCGGTCGTTATGACGATAGGGGCTTTCCCACCCGGTAGACGCTTAGAGGCCGGAGGCAGGTATAGATAACCAGACAGACGAATGCTCTCGTACGGGATCTCAATCTCGTATACGGGTCCTTCCCGTAGACGTATGCCTTGTTTGAAATTGTGAACCGAGCGCTCCGCAGTATCAAGAATGCGCTTGTCAGGTCGAGAGTTCAGCATAAATTGCGCGGCGCGAAAGTAGTTGGAGGCACGCATCAGAGCTTTATGGCGGGCGACTCGGTTCCCTTGCTGCTCTGCCTCGTGGGCAAGTCTTTCTGCTCGCAACCCTGCCTTCGACCACGCATTATACCAGCTTTCTGGATTTTGTTCTCGAATGTCCGGCAGGGCCTCGAGTGCTTCACCAATTTCACATCCACCAAAGCTTGTGGATCCGAGCAAGCGGACGAGTTCGAAGTTGAAGAAGGCGTCTTTGAAGAATTGATACATTCTGGAGAACAAGTCGAAACCGGAATGACAACACTGAGAATGCAGTCAGCGCGTGACATTTTAAACATATTCCCTCCAGGGCTATATCATTTGATTATATAAGATTCTCATGGTTTTGCACTCGTGTCGATTAATGGATGGGGGCCATTGGCGATTCGGCATCCATCCTCGCCGAATCAATTCGGGTGCATTCATAACATCCCCGAAACCTTTTCTTTTCGAGTGACAGAAAGTGCAAAAGAAAATTCCAGATTAAGATCGGATCGTATGATAATGGCCAGGGACTTCTTAAATAAAACTACGCGCAAGTGTCAGCAGTCTAGTATCCGCAGAACACCCATACTCACTACGCCATGACAATCGAAACCCACAACCTCGGCCTCAATCTCCTGAGATTGGCCCCTTTGGTCCTTTCCACTGCCTCTTTGATGTGCGGCGTCGACCAAGCGAACGCACTCCGGCCTTTCTCGAAGCCTCCTCTCGCTAAAACCGGCGGATCTGTTCTCCCACACTGGTTCTCGGGGCGCCGAATAATTCGCCAGGCTCGAAAACAGCATATTACAACTCTAACTACTAGGGCTGCTCTCTCTATACAATAGTAGGAAGAAGATGAGATCAATAGCTAGGGGGGTAAAGCGGAAGCTAAGGAACCTATGCAATATAAATTTATCATAGATGGGTCGTGGGCTCTCTCATTGGTTTGGCCTCGGGACAAGACGGTCTCTAGAACATTGCGCTTCATGATCATCTACCATGAGAGCATGCGACACCTAAATTCCATTGTATATTTATAAAGGCTATGTTCTTCATACCACGTACGGTCTATGTCATCGGTCGTCTAGCAATGGGCCGGGTTGGTTGGGTAGACGTTCTGCGTATTGCAGGTGCTAGGGGGCACAAACAAAGAAGCAGCTGGAATGAGTCAGCGAGAAATTAAACATGTCGATAGAGTAATAAGGACTCACTGTTGACGCCGTAATTGGTCGGTGGGTTACGCACGATAGAATAGCGGCCGCCTAGGGTGAGGTTGTTTTCACAATTGATCTGGTTCTGGCCGCCGCTGGTGGTAGATGAGCCGGTCCAGATGTCAATGTGAGGTGTGCCGTTCGTATAGTCGACGGCTTCAGACCGGTCAGTAACAAATTTGTTGAAGTATTGAGTGAACCGTATACTCACTACACTGGGCACAATTGTCCTCGTAACGACCGTACTTAGCGAGCAGCGGAAGATAGACAATCTCGCAGACGTTGAGCTCGCCAGGAGCAGTGGCAATTGTGACGGGGTCATTGTAGGTGCCGGAGCCTATTACACGTATCATGCATGAGTCAAGGGAACCAACATCTGTTTGTGGAGGCGGCATACCTCCAGCCACGTAGTTCCGGCCTCCACAATTGTGGGCGGTACCGGGTCCGGGAGGGTCATTGTCTGGGTAGCCGTAGAAGGTAATGATAAAGTTGCCCGGTGTGGAGCAAGCCGCGCCAAGGCCGGCCAACGCCGTGCCAAGGAGAACAGTGATGCTGCACTTCATTTTGTTAGAGAAGCAATGGGTTGGGTGACTGGAAGTTCGAGCAGTATCCATGCTTTTATACAAGAATCGCCATACTAAAGACAGCCAAACCTTTACGCGTGAACGCCAGATACCAATGGCCCATCATCACGGCAAGTTCATCCCGACTTTACCCCGCAATAAGACCTGCTATGCAATGCTACGGTTACATAGCGTTCAAAAAACAAAAAAACAAAATGAATGCTGTGATTATGGTCCCCATGGAATCGTTGCTACCGATAGTCAGATTTAGTATGAATAATGCAGGATAAAATGCGCTGGCACCGTGATTTGCGCGATATCTTCGGCCGCTCGTAAGCCTCTCTGCAGGGTCTAGAGCGCAATCAGGATCGTGCTTTTTGTCTCGTTGCCATCTTGGCCATCCTGGCTGTATTACTGTATTAGCCTACCTTCTAAGGGTCTAGTGCATTGGAACCAATGCTCAGTCTACTACAATGTAGGATACCTAGTCATCAACGGACGAGAAGGGAGGCAAATTACTCTATAAACGCAAACCTAGGCAATTTTCATAATTCTCCGTCCTATACGGTCATCCTCACGCAGGCAAATATAATAAGGTTCATGTTCATTGCACTATTTTCCTTTTCGGTGCGTCGATCTAGTCTGCGGGGCAGAATTGTAAATCATTGGTCCGAAGGCTTAGCATTAATTAGACTTCCCGAAAAGCGTCCGGGCAATATTCCATCCGTGACTGCTAATAGTAAATGATTATGGATAGCTTACGACTAGACTTCGGCAGAACCCATTTTGGGTCGGAGCCTCCGACCCAAAACCCAACCCATTGGGTTTTGGGTTCCGCCCTCTATAACCCAACCCAACCCAAAACCTAATTGGTTAAACCCAATAACCCAATAATAACCCATTTGAACCCATTTTTGTATAAAAATTCATAAAATATATAAAATATAAGTCTTGGCATTTTTAAAGATACTTTTTTAGTAGTATAAAATACTTTTCTACTTATATTTGTTTAGTTTGCACTATATTGGGGCCCCAATAGGTTTACCCAAATTCAGGGTAAAATACCCTGTTTCCACCATGTATTCAATCTTAGTATTCGACAGGAAGGACTAACTAGTAAGGATTACTTCCATAAGGATGGTCCCACCCGGAAGCGGAATCCACTTCACCGTCCCCATAAACCTGCCAGAAAATCACCCTCAATTCCCCCTACGCTGTCAGGTCTCTACTTGTGATTGGAGACTAGCATGTCCGTAACACTAACCACTACCACAAATCTAATAAAATAGATAGAAATAAACGAGTTCCACATTCATTTAGATAAGGGGGTGTAATATCTATTAAAAATAAAATACCATCTTAAGGCCTCTATATTAACTGGTCAATATGTGCCAGCATTTGCCATATAGACTTTTTTACTACTAGGGGAGTCCCCAGCGGGGATTTCAGGAAATTAGTGTAAGGGACCGGAGGCAAGAGAATGTCAATGATATCGATAGAGAGGTAGTAAATTTTAGCTGGGCTAACTATCTACTAAGGCCAGCGGCCCGGGAGGCCTATATGGCAAGTAGAGTCAACGGTCCAAACAAGAAGTTACTAACAGACCTGCTGGAATACATTCTTCTCAAGTTCAGCTGCAGTAGTCGGGACATATCCCAGAGATGTTGCATAAGAGTATGTCCAGCGAGGATCATTCAACTCCGTCTTCCAAGTCCAGTACACCCACCCGCTCATTCCAGGCTTCTCATAAAGTTGTTGTTGAGCAGTAAACCACTTCTTGAAGAAGTTGGCATCATGCCAGTCGGCACCAGAGGTCATGCTCCATTCTCCAGTAATCGTAAAGTCCTGGCCACTCACAACACGGCTGTCATGGCACGCACTGTTCATAAGCGCTCCCTGGTCGCTCGTTCCGCTCAGGGCAAAGCCAATGTAGTTGTGGTCATCATACGCAGTCATGAGGTCGTTCTTCACTTCGGGGTTGGTGCGCGCATCTCCGGAATCCCACTTGCTTGACATAAACTGGACGTGCAACTTCCTGTCGTTAGCCACGCCCAGGGACGCCTCGGCGTCTCGCACGGCCTTGAGGGCGTCGGGGTAGTAGCTTTGCACCAAGCCTGGGTCCTCGCCCGGAGCTGGGTACCGACCACCACCGTCGTGGCGGGAGACAGGCTCGTTGAGGACCTCGATCATGCCGACGGACCGATAGGCGTTGTTGGTGTGAATGCGATTTGTCATCCAGGAGAGCCACTTCTCCGCGCGGCCGAAATTGTAGGCATTGTAGAAACCGGCAGGAACGTTCATCTGGCCGGTGAAGGCATCTTGCTGCTGGCCGCCAGGGGCGCCGTGGAAGTCGATAATGACATAAAGACCCAGGTCCGCTGCCTTTCCGACGACTGCGTCGAGGTAAGGCAACATGCGACTGCCATCGGCAAAAGGCTCACTAGCCTTATCGACGATGTCGACATAGGACCAGTAGCCGATGGGGATACGGATAGTATTCAAGCCAACATCGTGAACGGACTGGACTGTGGCCGGGTTGATCCAATCCCTCCAGTGGTTTGCAAATTTGGCGTTACCATTCTCGCGGTTGCTTCCAGAGTACTGGTTCTTCATGCAATCAAACTCAGTCGCAGCACCATTGCAGCCCATGACGTTGTTCCACTCGTTGCTCATCATCCAAGGCTCGCTGACGAGCCATCCTAAAGCGTACTGTTAATTTGGCGTTTCCTCTAACAAAGGCATCCATTAATTACCTCCAAAGTTGACACCACGAATCTTGCTCACGCCATTAGGCAGAGTGGGCTGAAAGCGCTTTTCGAGTGTGTCAAAGCGAGAGATGTTAAAAGCAGCGAGGTCTCGTTCCTCAGGAAGCCAAGCCAAGGCGCTGCTGGCAAAAAGTGCCACACTAGAGAGGGGATATTTCATCGCAGCTAAGATATATATTTCCAAGGGACAGTTGCTGAAGCTTATTGATATCATCCCAGAAACCTTGTCGCGTTGACCTATTTATGTGATTTTGGACAAATCCATTTTTAAAACACACCCCCGCAGCAAGAGTAACCCCCTAAATCTCCCCGATCTCCGCTCGGTCTAGCTTTCCTCAACTGAAGGTCAGCAAGGCGTCCTGTTGATTACACCGTGACAGTACTGTTTTCTTCGTGAAGTCAAGGTTTTATTAAGATGATATAAAGGCGCTAGTAACTGGTTTAGGAAAATGGGCTCCAGCGTGGCACCTCCACTTAGACTGCGACATTGACCGTGCATGGGCAATAGGAGGTGCCCATTGCCCGTGGGCATTTTGAAATTAGAGGCCCATCGCCCATCATTATGCAAAAGTTAATATAAAAATTACCCTATTAGGCCATTTTATGTACATAACTAGCTTTGGGCAGTATCCATAATGCCAAAAGTACCCACGAGTGTCTTGGCGACGCTAAAGATGTCTCCACTTTAGTGGGCACTGTCGCAGTCTACCTCCACTTAGCTCCTTCGTTTCCTTGCTGCGTAACCAATAGAATGCTTGCCCGTGTGTTGCAAATGATCCTTGAGCCTGCACGCTAACTCGTTTGAATAAAAGAACGGCTCTCCATCAGGTATAATGGATGATAGCCCCGAAACTCCGCTAATCCATATTGGTGTTTGGAGTATGATTTATCCTCAGATATACTAGTGAGTATCCCTGCCGCTTGTGGTTCCCTTCGCAGGACATATTAGATTGCACCGAGTTGATAATTTCTAGAAGTCTAGTATTCTCTATTCCTTTTAGGTAAATGATATATCGTAAGGCGTAGCACCACGTTTCAAATTAATTCATTCTGAAACATCCTTAGCAAAATGGAGTCTCCTAATTTTGTTACCTTCCAGCCATACTTACTAACTATAAATGGCGTTCGTACCGGGGCAAGTCTCGTCCGACCTCCTAGTACTACTTGGTTAACAAAGCGCCTAACAATAGCCTATTGACAGCATGTGGAGTCCTTGGCCAGAACCCTGATTCTGCTGTATCGACTATCAAATAATGAGGACATTTCTGACCGAGTTTCATCTATTCAAATTGCAGTCTACCATTCTTTGGACGAGAGCGATTTTCCTTTGTGTTATATATAACAATGGCCCTTCCTATTTCTGTCGAGTTCGAAACATTATCTGTCCATTCTTTTACCTCAAGTCTAGTACTTGAGCAGACTCTCATTTTACTAGATTCTAAGGAATCTTGCTCGTTACTGCATCTTTAGACAGCGACTTCTTTGAGTATTTCCAAACAAGTTTTTCAATATACTTCCAAAATGCACTTCAAAGCCTTCTGCACGGTCGTCATCTCCGCGGTCTTTTTCGCGTTAGCATTGGCAAAGGATTCGCGTACCTTCGCCGTGAACCATTTCTATGGCAATGGCGCCTTGACAATGGGCCGAATGGATCCAATTATGGACCCTGGAAAGGCAGCTACGCACTCGCACGCCATCCAAGGAGGAAGCAACTTCAATCTCACCATGACAGACGACGCCCTCATAGACTCAAACTGCACCTCATCCCTCGTCGACGCCGACAAGAGCAACTACTGGACTCCGTCGCTATACTTCCAAGCCGACAATGGCAGCTTCCTCTCAGTTCCAATGTTCTACATGAACGTCTACTACTTCTTCGAAGCAACCGACGACGAGATCAAACCCTTCCCTGTCGGTCTGCGCATGTTTATCGGTAACAGTTCCCTACGCACACCACCCCCGGGTGGTGCCGGCAATGTCCTCGACACAAACCAGGGAGCTATTCAACCTGTCCAGTTCACATGTCCCCGCTCTTCTTACGATATACCCTCCTACCCACCAGATTCAGATGGGCTCCGCGGCGTCGGTATTCAAGATCCAAATAATGCCGGAGCTGGCGCTGGGTTCCCGCATATGAACTGCGATGGCTACGCGTCGCCCCTACGTGCCGATATTCATTTCCCATCGTGCTATAATCCTAAGGCTGGGCTACATGACTACAAGACAAACATGGCCTTCCCTAGTAGCAAGGGCACCACTGGTGGCAAGGCGAATTGTCCATTTGGTTGGATCCACGTTCCTCATATCTTCTACGAGGTGTATTGGAATACGCCGCTGTTTGCTGAACTGTGGACGGAGGGTACTGGCTCGCAGCCTTTTATTCTCAGTAACGGCGATCGGACGGGGTATTCACTTCATGGTGACTTTGTGAGTATATATATTTCCACGTTTACATGATGATCTGTCGGGGACCACTGGCTAATACAAATATAGATCTCTGGATGGGATGAATCGGTCTTGCAGAAGATCATTGATAACTGTGATGCTGGGGATTCGGGAATGGACAAGTGCGCCGATGCTGGTTTCATCAATGACGCCTCAACTACATGCAACATACCCAATCTGGTTCCCGAGCTGGTCGATGGCGTTCTTGAAAAATTGCCTGGAAATAACCCGCCGACCGGTTGGGGACAGGGTGGAGCGGATGGGGCTTCTAAGCAAAAAGTCAAGAGACACATTCATGGGCACTCGCGTGGAAAGCATGCTTAAATTTGTTTCTATATTGTGATAAGAACTTGAGCCATTTTTTTTTGCCACTATAGCATCTTCTCGGGTTCTTTGGTGAGGGCTTGCCGTGTATTTTAGAACCTACCGGAACAAGATGAAACTATGGATTGGTATGCATTTCAGGAGGAGTAAAATCAAAGGGAACCAAACCAAGATGAAGGATTGATTAAGGAGAATAACATGTGATCGAGGGTAGGCTGAAATACTCTTGGGTCAATGCGTAGAATACGCCGATACTTGGCGGTTGCAACTCCAGAGTTGCAAATATGAACGACTTTACAAGTTCAAATATTGCCCCAGTTGCTCTTTGTCTTGGTTGTCATATAGTTTCCCTCCCTCTCCCACGACATATTTAGTAGCGTAAAGCTGTGCACCTGTGCCACTTACTTTGCAGAAAGTGGGATAATAGAATTGATGATAGCCACCGAGGTATACACCGACAAGTGTCATTCTCTGTTGAAGGCATAACTGAGCCATCATCCTGCTCAGGGTTAGTAACAAGATTGTATGAAGATTAGGTATATGGCACAGACTCAACTTACGTGAATAGGTTTCTCTTTGGCATAGACTCGCCGCCCTAGACACGAGGAGTAGCAATGCCAGATTTAGTCTTCTCGTACTCGTCTGGGTCAAAGCCCAGGAATCGGCTCAAGCTATCCAAAGGGAACTATCCTGACTTGGGCTCGACCGATCCCCACGGCTCTGGGCACTGACTTCGTTCTTCTCCCCACCTTTGGCAAGGTATATGTAGCCATCAGTCCCAGTAGCCGGGTAGAAGGTTTCTTTCTTGTCCATGATAATCGATCACCATCTTGGCTGCTTTACACTGGCGGGGTTGCTCGCGAGATCTCGCACTTAGGCCTGTGTGTTCATTTCAACGTTGCCCGCCCCCCTCGAAACTGCGCTCTACGTCGTCGAAGTCGTCGAAGATACTCTTGGTAGCCCTTCTATTGCCAACACATCCACTGCACCCAACGCATCCCAAGTCACGATCAAAAATAGTCTCGCTGTTAATTTACAGATTGTACTTGTTGAACGCATTTATTTCAATCTTGTTCTAGAATGATGGTGTCTCTCTGACACTTTGCGGCCTGGGAGGCCGTAGCTCCGATGGATACGTAGAAAGATGGGATTTCAATGAGACCAACAGTTCTTTTTTGAATTTCCTGTTTAGAGCGTCAATATATCCAACGCAATACGAATGGCTAAGGCGGCTTTGGTGGATACGCGACCTTCACTTTGGGTTCTAGGGTCAAAGGATGGCTCAAGCCCATTGATAAAATTGCTCCCATTATCGCTGATTAGATCCATGTTCGCGCTTCCTTTGCTGAGGATAACTGCCCCCCCGCCCCATCCCGATAATAACCTGGCCTCCCTGAGCTAACTGAAGTTCGTCTGAACCCATGGGATCAAAGTTCAGTGCTGATACGAATGTTATCTACGGGCCCATGATGAAGAGGACTGGAATAGTGATAGTGCTCAAGGGGATTGCATCCAGCTGTCGAGATGGGGTAGAGGAGTAGTGTGAAATGAGAGATGGGATTAAACCTGAGAAGCAGTAGTGCTGGGCACCTAGTGAAAGTTTTTGCTTTGATCGCTCCAGCGATTGGCACTCTGCTAATGCATCCAAGTGAGTTTCTGGAGCTACTGATGCAGACAGTTGTAAACTCACGCTCTTCCATGACCCCCAGAACTTTGGCTTTTATTAGACAATGAGGTGCCAAAACCATACAGAAGTATTGCTCTACATCTACTCTTATTGCTAGGATCATCGTTATCCCTTTTTATCTTCATGTCCCAAGCCGATTACGTCGCCAAACAGAGTCAAATACAAGCCCTGAAACTTTATCCCCAAGTAGCAAGATGTACGAGCTAGCTTTAGAAGGAACTCCTGATGGTAGAAGTCAACTCAGAACCCGAGTTATCTTATAGATACAGGTTTATAATATCTAGCATTCTGTGCCGAGTCCGCGAGCGATGCTGGACGAAGGGCTGGGGCATACATGAAATTTGATGGATACTGGGACACATCTCTGGATATATATTGCACTTTTACTTTTTGCATCGGTGCCAGGGTTTTCGTCAAATTTGCCAGGCCAACGCCGTATGACCATTATCAAATGCCAGCGGTGTAAACCAAATACACAGAACATTGTGGTTCATCACATCGTCGAATAATCACCTCACACACTCACCCACCCTACCAAGCATCGACTCGGTGCATCCGTAGATGCATCCCCTCAACGGGCTGAGTCGTTAACACGCCAGTGATATGGATTTCCTGCGTTGGATCCTGCATCTCAAACGCAAACCGGCCGACCACGCCTGCCATTGCACACCGCAGTTCCGCGCGCGCAAAATCTTTTCCGATACATGATCGGTGGCCGTGTAAGAATGTCATCTGCGCAAAGTTGGTTGACGTGCCGCCGGTGTTGTTCGGTACTAGATTGCCGTTCTTGTCCTTGTCAATCCACCGCTCTGGCAAGAACCCCTCGCCGTCATCGCCCCAGAAGACTGGAGATCGGTTAATTGCGTACGGGCATAAGATCACTCGTGTTCCTTTAGGGATAGGCTCGCCGGCGATTACAGTATCGCGTATAGATTCACGAAGTGTGGCGGGGAATGTAGGGTAGAGACGTAGGATTTCCTGGCAGACGCCGTTTAGAAGAGGCAAAGACTCGAGGTCTTGGTAGGTAATTGGGGCATTGGCGTAAGGAATTTTTTCCCGGATCTCAGCACGGAGACGCTCCTGAATATCTGGGTGCTGAGTCAGTAGATAGCAGGCCCATGTTATAGTACGCGCGGTGGTTTCGTGCTGAAAAGCGTTAGTAGGTGTATTCAAGTTGCTTTAATATTGAAGTGAAACTTACTCCCCCAGTCAGGAAGGTTAGCATCTGATCCACCAGCTCGGAGTCCGAAAAATCCCCGCCTAGTACCAAAGTGCCAAGTATATCAGCCTCGAGATCCTTGACTGATGACTTGGACATGGCAATGGCTTTTCGCTTATCCCTGACAATATCTGTACAGAGATCACGAAGAAAATTGGCCTCATGGGTGATTATTTTATTCAAGCGCCATGGCACACGCTGTGCAAGCCATGGCGGCAAGATAAAATTCATCGCAAAGAACGCCATCTTTTCAGTAGTGGGTGAGAGAATACGGAAAAAGCTCTGCGCCACGGGATTATCACATTTCTGCAGCGATCGAAAGTCCCGGCCCATAGCTGCAGGGCCAATAATATCGAGAGTTAAGCGACTAGAGCAACATAATTAGTTATACTGATTATTGCAATCGTCTAGGACAGCATATACCTCGCCCACTCCCCTATCTCTAGCTTACCCTCCCCATCAGCCGGATTCGTCCCCTCCATCGGACTTAGCTTCAGCTCCTTCTCGACCTCCTCCAAAAACTGGTTTGTCTTATCCCACATCAGTGAATACATAACGCGGATATTCTTGATATTAAAAGCCGGAGTCAGCGCCTTGCGTTGCTTCTTATGGGCAGCACCCTCGGACATAACTAGACCGAAGCCCAGGATACGGGCGATAAAGTTACGCGCACGCCGGGGCTTCTCAAAGTCATAACTGTTAGTACTCATGACGTCTAACAGGGCTTGGTGGTTGGTGGCAAGCAGGTAGGACTGGCCGAGGATATCATGCAGGTGGATCAGGCCCTCATTGGGGATGGTCGTCATCCAGTGCAGGGGCCTGCGCCTACGGGGGAAGTCGAAGAACTTGAGGTTGCTCATGAAGCCCTATAAGGAATTATTAGTGGTGTGGCCTTGATATTTTCTCTGAAAATGCTCGCGCGAAGTAATACTGACTGGAACTTTGGGTAGATGGCGCAGCGGATTGATGAAGAGCGGCCAAATAACGATAACATAGAGGCCCTTCAGAAAGACATTGACAGCTAGCGAGCTGAGCACCACAGTACGGAAGGACTGATTGGCAAGCATGGTTCGCTGGAGGAAGTAGGCCTCAATGAGGGTGAAGGCCATCAGAGCCAGAAAACTATCTTCGACCGCCATGATGGGGATTCCGACTGAAATGCAAATATGAAGAAAGGAAGTGGTTTAGTGTGGTGGAAAGAAAGAGATGCCTACTGCTTAAAAGATCCATTTTTGGCCCTGGCTAATTCTAATTCTCATAGGAGAGTAGTATCCATAATCATCATACTATGGCGTAGCACCCAAGCCGTCGGGGCACAGGCAGACTCCACTGAGTGATCGGTGATCGGTGTATCGCCACTTGGGAATTTGGTTGAGGACGGATCGACCTCGGTAATTTTAAAATGCTCATAGTATCCATCCTGACACTATCCCCTTGGTTGGCAGCGCTAGTCATTTTTAGCGGTAATTTTGAAAACAGATTTTTCATTGGCTTTTCAGCACCCACCAGCCTTATTACTACTACAACGTAGGGAAGAGCCTCATATCTAGTGTATGACAAGTCCCGGCTCCCATCAGTCCTGCTAGTCTATATTTTTGCATACATCTCCTAAGAAGAATTAATAGAATGTAGATTAATTCGACACTCTCATGGTTAGTAAACAGTATTTGATTCCTATGTTACCATCTGTTTAATCAATACAAGATCACTATCAGCGAAATTCTCCTGTTTAATACTCGCACCCCCTGCTGTTGAAAAGCACACACACACACACATAAAAAAAAGAGAGAAAAGAAAAGAAAGAAAAATGGTTCGATAGGTTACCCAGCCTGATTGTGGTGCACCCGCTGAAATCTGGTCTTCATCCACATAAAGAGGCCGAAGTGCTGATGAAATATAGCGAGAGCTTATGTTTGTGCGTTTCGGAATCTGAGAGAGATACTGTCTCGGAAGGTATACCGTGCTTTCAAGTTCCCTCCTGTGGGCTCTTGCGATATTGCCCCCTGGTTTCCTTGCCTAACTCAGTAACCCAAGCCCAGGAAGGCAAGTGTACTAATATACACCGGTAACACCACTGGGGGGCTCAAGCAGAGTCATAGACGGTGGCTCTTCGCATATCGCGGACGTAATGTCCCTGGTATGAGCCTCCGGATGACCGGTGCATTACACACGTGTTATCCTGTTGATATTAGCTTGTCCCCGGGGACCGGATGGTTTGACATTGCGCACCCATATAATCAGATCGCCATTGTTCTGCCAATCCACCGTAAAAGTATATCTATCCTGACTCGCATGCTGCATTAAAGCCTCGATCACGGGCTTGCTAGCTGACTTGGTCCATCCGTCTATACGGTATGCATGCGCCGCAATGTACAAGTTCATCCGGTTGCTCGATTTGTGTAATTGCACCAGCCGATGAGGGGCGCGCGCAGCCAAAGGACCCGGTGCTAGGCGCAACAGAAGGAGCCGCAGCAGGACGAACAAGCACATTGAAACCAGAGTGGTGTCTGCCAGACGAACACAAAACCCCAGGAAGCGAGTGATTAGAAGCTATAGACGATGAATAGAGGTTATCAGATTATCAGCCACAGACCGGTATCGAGTCTCGTATCTCGTTAGATCAAGGTGGTAACCTACTAGAATCATGAGACAGGGAAGGCGACGGAGGTCATGCAAGTCCAAGGTTAAGTCGATGATCTTGAAGGTCCAGTTATCCGGGACTGCCAAAGTTCGACTATGCAGTATGGAATGCCACAAGACATAGTCATGGATTTGAGCTTTCATGGCCTCATTCAGGTCCGTATATGCGCTCCGAGTATCGGCGAATACGGTCCCGCCGGCGCTACCCGAAGGAGGCAACTGGTGTGCGCGGAGGAGAGAATATCCCGCCCGACGGTGATTGAAGGAGCAATCAACGTGGAAGAGGTTATTTCCCTGGAACGCTTGCGCTCGTAAACTGGTCGTTGAGTCGACATTGCCATTGTGGTCCACATTCCCAACATCAGTCAGTAGGCTTTCCGGACCGAGTCGATACGGCACTCCGGGTTTCCGCATCACAGTCGAGACATCCAGCTCGCCGAATTGACGCGCGAGGGCTGTGTGGCTCTCATCATTGAGGGCAGTGCCGCGAAAGACCAAGAAGCCATATTTGGCCATCGCGGTGCGGATCTGGTCAATGGTACCTGTAGACACTGGCTGAGAGAAGTCTACGCCCTTGCATTCGGCTCCAAAAGTAGGGTGTAGTGGGCTGAATATTACACTGGACCTGTTGGTAACCATGTTGTAAGTGTGGATGCCAACCGACAATGGATTGCCAGACCACAAAAATCTATTTTATGTGGTTAATGTATGTTGCAAAAGGGTGTAGCTCGTTTAACCTGTCTGTTGTAGTGTGTCTGGACGTCGGATGTTGTCTTGTCGTATGTTGTATGCAGGTGAAAAACATTCTGCGAAGAGAAATAAAGTTCACTCTATACTAGGTTTAAAGCTCTACATTACTTATGGCGGCGGAAAAGCCACTACCGGCTAAGAAACGGAAATATTCATGGTTTGGGAGCCATGTGGGCTGGAAATACAGCCTGCATACCTTACCAATAAGTCGGGAGGTAACCCCACATGCAACCCACTGATATTCTCAAATATACCGATGAAACCCTTCCTCAGTCACGATCCATGGTAGTTGGTGTGCGAAGATCGGGTTCTCAGTACCGAGTAAAAGGTCACGCTTCGTCATCAAAGTTTGAGTGTACTAATTTGGCTCCACATTATCCACCTTATGGGACCGACGGGTGGGTCATCTCCTCAATAGCCATATTAACATGACAACTAATATAGGCGTAGATAAAATACGCTAATGAAGACAAATGATAGAACTAGGACGCTACTATAGCGCCGGTTGGGAAGACCCTCGCCGTCTCAAAGCACGCGAAGTGAGCTTTATCTTATCACCGAAGCTTTCAAACAACTCTTTGTCTCTTCTTTTCTTTTCCCCTTCTCAGATACTTCGTACATATATACAATAAACCCTAGGTGCCATCGGGAATTCTGGTATCCATGTCCCGTTTCGATCCCTTCACGCTCGTCGATCTCCCTTACCGCATGGTGCAAAACCATTCGCTCGAAGCCACACTCTTCCTTCCAACTCATCTCCTATCTCGCTCAAATAACAAGCAGAAATGTCCAGTTATGGTCCATTTCCACGGGGGTGGCTTCATCCTCGGCCACCGCCGCTACGAACCCTGGCTCGCACAATGGTTTCTGGACCTCGCACAAGCCCAGGACGCGATCATCATTCGCCCTGATTATAGGCTCCTCCCTGAATCCAGCATGGACGATATCTTCAGCGACGTGGACTATTTCTGGCGTTGGGTGCAGCGCGATCTGCTCCGAATTGTCAAGGAAAATTCATGGGGGGTCCTGCCCGACCTCTCTCGGATCCTGTGCTGCGGGGAGAGTTCTGGGGGCTCTCTGGCGGTGTATTCGGGCCTCGAGCTATCTTGCATTCTATCGGGCGGGGCTGTCCCGGACCGAGAGGCAGATGCAGACGGGTACGCGGATGTTACCATACAGGCTGTCATTTCCACATATGCGCCACTTACCCTTGATGTCCCGGAACTCAGGATCCCGCGCCCAAGGACGATTATGGGCATGAGGCCGCCCCCACCTAGGCGCGCGGAGATATTAATTCGGAATTATATGCAGAGCCTCCAGCAGTCGGGCGACATACGGACGCAGTCGGCCTGCATGAGGCGATGCAGGAGATCCAGAGAGGTAATATCACTTCAGCGATCGTGGCTGGAGCGAACTTAATCTTCGCACCAGGAATGACGGTTGCCATGAGTATTCAGGCAGCGCTATCCCCGGAAGGGTCATCCAAGTCATTCGATGCAGCTGCAGACGGCTATGCTCGTGGCGAATCCGTGTCTGCCTTATACATCAAGCGTCTTGATGAGGCGGTCCGAGATGGAAATCCCATCCGGGCCATTCTCCGGGCATCATCCAGCAATTCTGATGGGAAGACAATGGGATTTAGTACCCCAAACCCGGATTCTCACGAGGCGGCTATGCGTGAGGCATATTCTATTGCTGGTCTGGACTTTTGTCAAACCGCAATGGTAGAGGCACACGGTACGGGGACAGCTACGGGTGATCCAATTGAGGCGGAGGCAATTGCTAGATGTTTCGGCAAGGAAGGAGTATATATAGGCGCGGTACGTATGACCTACTTGATTTACATGTCACAATGTGAAGACTTACCAGGGTCGCAGGTGAAACCGAACCTGGGTCATAGTGAAGGCGCGGCGGCTCTTACGAGTCTCATCAAGGCGGTGGTCTCGCTTGAGCACCAGACAATCATTCCGAATATCAAGTTCGAGACCCCCAATCCAGCGAGTGAGTCCCCTGTATGTTAACTTTATGTACCGTGCTAATAATGATAGTCCCATGGGAAACGGCGAAGCTAGTCGTCCCAGTGAAACCTTGTCCATGGCCCAGAAATCGTGCTGAGCGATTGAGTGTCAACTCGTACGGGATTGGTGGATCTAACGTCCATGTAAGATCGATATCTGTATCATAACATAATCGTCACTGACTCTGCCATCCAGTTCATTCTAGACTCAGCTGCCTCGTTTGGAATAGGAATACCAAAGTCCATTCCTCCAGCAGTCAGTGTTCGGGGTCAGAGGAAACAACTACTGGTTTTCTCTGCTGGGCATCCGGAATCTGTGAAGACCATGGTCAGAAACCACCAAGAGTATTTGTCCAAGTACCCCGATCGCTTGAGAAAGGTTTCCTATAATCTCTCTGAGAGAAGAGAACGCCTGAAATACAGAGCTTTCTGTGTGTCAAATGGAAGTGAACCGCTTTCCGAGACTGCACCATCACCCTGTCGGAATTTCAACCAGATTGCGTTTGTGTTTACAGGGCAAGGGGCTCAGTGGTATGTGCCTCTGCTTTCTATTCGTTTCTTGTCATCACGCACCATTGCTAAATAGAACAGGATACATATGGGACGTGATTTGATGTTGGAGTTTCCATCTTTCTTGGCGGATATTCGATCCATGGACAATGTATTGAAGAACCTTGAACATGCCCCATCTTGGTCTATTGAAGGTGAGTTGACACGGATTAGGTTACCACTCAAACATGAGTTGCACTAAAAGAAAGCAACAGACGTTCTTTGTCACGCCGATGATGGAAGCATTTTGTCACAACCAGAATATTCCCAAACGATCTGTACCGGTCTCCAAATCGGACTTGTAGACCTGTTAGAATCATGGCACGTCAAGCCATCGGCTGTTATCGGTCATTCCAGTGGCGAAATAGCTGCTGCCTATGCGGCTGGGTCTTTGACGAAGACAGAAGCTATTGTCGTTGCCTTTTACCGCGGTCATGTCTGTAAGGACCCGTCGCGGAAGGGCGGGATGGCAGCCATTGGGTTGGGAAAGGCACAAGTCGCTCGTTTTTTGATGCCAGGAGTGAATATTGCATGCGAGAACAGTCCATCCAGTGTCACCTTGGCGGGAAATGTGGGTACTTTGGAGACGGTGATGGCCAATATCAAGGGGGTGAATGAGGACACGTTTGTTAGAAGATTGAAAGTGGAAATGGCTTATCATTCTGGTATGTGTTTCATTGTCTGCGTGAACGGTCTCACAATGCTTTCGTGGTGCTGACACTGAGGTATTAGACCACATGCGTATTGTTGGAGATAGATACCATGACCTGATAGCTGGCCACCTTGACCCTCGTCCGCCTAGAGTCCCATTTTATTCTAGTGCCTATGGTGGGAAGGTACTTTCGGAGGCATCTCAATTTGGCTCGCACTATTGGCAAGAGAACTTAGAAAATCCCGTTCTCTTTAACACTGCTGTCAAGTCTCTGGTTTCGACAACACCTCAATTGGTGCTGCTAGAGGTTGGACCACACTCGACTCTGCGAGGCGCACTGAGCCAAATCACACAGCAAATTTCCTCAACAGTGCTTTACGTACCCACCTTGATTCGTGGCAAGAATGATACAGAGTCATTTCTTTCGACGATGGGTCAGCTTTTTACAGCTGGTCTGCATATCAGAGCCCACTGTGATCCTATAGATGTCATGGTCTTATCGGATCTGCCAACATACCCATTCCACTATGAAAAGAGTTACTGGGTCGAGTCAAGAGTAATGAGCAACTGGCGATTCCGCAAGCACCTTCCGCATGACCTGTTGGGCACTCGGACGCTGGAAGGAACTGATCTGGTCCCAACTTGGCGAAACAATCTCCAGCTTTACCAAATCCCTTGGCTGAGGGACCATCGGGTTGGGAAGGATATTGTATTCCCAGCTGCCTGTTACGTTGCTTTAGCTGGCGAAGCTGCATTCCAGCTGACTGACAGCGATGCACGAGACTATACTGTGAAGTCAATGGACCTTCACCAGGCTTTACTTCTTCAGGAAGAAACCGCCACTGAAATTGTTACTACCCTTCGCCCTCAGCGCTTGACGACAAGTCTAAATAGCGAGTTCTACGAATTTTTGATTGAATCATACAATGGAGAAATGTGGAAGAAACATTGCTCTGGGTTAGTCCGAATCGGTCGTGCATCTACGCCTCCAGTAGCCTTCCACAGGGCATCGGAGGCGCTTCCCAGAGACGTCTCATCAGCTCGATGGTATGAGACTGGTGCCCGTGTCGGACTGAATTACGGCCCCAGTTTTACTGGCCTCCAGAATATCACCGCTGGCGTTACCGAAAAGAAATCTGAGGCCGATATCATTGATAAACCTGGGACAGAATCCGAATCCCTCTACCCTCTCCACCCAATCACTCTGGATTTGGCCTTCCAGGCATTGACAGTAGCGATCTTTCAGGGTGACTATCGCACCTTTGACTATCTACCTCTACCAAAATTCCTTGGGGAAATCTACGTCGGCCACGGAGCAGGTAGGAAGATCCATATCTCCTCGATGAGTGGTCATAATTCGTCTGGCGGTCATTTGTACGGGGTCGGGGAAGACGGTGATTTGTTACTATACCTCAAAGACCCAGTGCATATACGTCTAGAGAAGGACCACGATGCCCCAGAGCCAATGGCGGTTGCCTTGGAGTGGAAACGCGCCTTTTCTTTCCTGGATAGTGGTGAACTGACGCGACCAATCTACAATATCCGAGAGCAGCTCATCGTGGGCGAGAGACTGTATGTTCTCTGCGCACTTGAATCCAACATCGCCCTACAGGGTATCTCAACAACGCAGCCACATCTGGAGCAGTATCGGCAGTGGTTAGAAGATCAATGTGCTCGCTTAGCAGAACCAGGCTACATTCTAGTCGAGGATTCAGTTGACTTAGTCAAAATGACTTCTCAAAATCGCCGCGAGATGATTCCGAGGGTTCTTGATCAATGCAAGGCCAGCGGTTGCGGGGATATTGGATTAGCAATCTGGAAGGCATATGACCAGCTGGTCAATATATTCGAGGGGAAAACGGACTTCCTTGACCTTGTGATCAACGATGGCACACTTTCAAATGTCTACAATTGGACTAACGACATGTGGGATATCAGCAAATTCTTCCAGCTCCTCGGCCATACGCAACCTCAGATGAAAGTCCTCGAGATTGGAGCTGGAACGGGTGGGCTGACTGCCAAGGTTCTTGAGCATCTTCGCTCGACGTATGGAGAACGGCTATATTTGCAATACACCTTTACGGATGTATCCTCTGGGTTTTTTCCGGCTGCAAAGAAAAGATTCGAAGAATACCAGGCTATCGACTATCAAGTGCTCGATATCTCACAGCATCCTCTGGAACAGGGGTTCCAGCGCGAGGAATACGACCTTATAATTGCTTCAAATGTGAGAACAGAACTGTCACACTATTTTACAGGGCCTTTGCTGATGACATTGCAGGTTTTACATGCCACCCCTGTTCTACATGATACACTTGTTCATGTCAGGACTTTACTGAAGCCCCAGGGCCGGCTGTTCTTGCAGGAGCTCTCACCAGGTAGGTCTTAGGCTTTACGTTGTAACGAAAATATTGACTGACATATTGACAACTGCAGTTGGAAACAGCATGGGGTATGTCATGGTAAGTAAATTTCCTCATGGTCTGTAGCTGCAAAAGATTCTAACTTGACAAGGGTATCTTCTCGGGCTGGTGGCTCGGGGCAGCAGACGGCCGGGCCAGCAAACCCTTTATTTCCCCCGAAGAATGGGATACAAGACTACGTGCTGCAGGATTTGACGGTTGTGAGACAGTCAAGTTTGACAATGAGAAACCCTACCACCTCAATGCAAACATCGTGGCCCGGCCAGTAGTAGAAGTTGAGTACTCTCGAACCATCACTCTCCTGTCGGGACCATCCGCAATCCATCCACTGGCTCTTCAGGTGGAGACACTGCTACAGAAAAAGGGGTACCAAACGAAGCACTGCCAACTGGGGAATGAGCAGCAAACTCTCCCGGGCCAGGATTTGATATCGTTCCTTGACCTTGACCAGCCCTTCTTGAAAGCCCCAAGTGAAGGGGACTGGCATCAATTCCTTGATATGATACAGACTCTGCAACAGGCATCTATTCTTTGGTTATTACCTCTGACCCATATGAAGTCGAACGATCCGCACACGGGACTGATTCTTGGGGTGGCTCGAACCGTTCGTTCGGAGCTTGCGATACCTCTCAGCACTCTGGAAATTGAATCTCACACCAGTCCAGAAGCAGCAGGCGCAGTCGTTGATGTCATCAGAAAATTGCAACGATCCAATCAGGATGATGGGGATCTGGATCCAGACATGGAGTATTGCTGGGTGAATGGCGCTGTACATGTTGGACGGTACCACTGGTATCCAGTCAAGAAGGCTTTGAAAGAGGCGGCAGCTGAGCCTGACACTAAAGTATTGAGGATTGGGACCCATGGACTGCTACAATCTCTCTATTGGAGTGGATGTGCACTGCCTGAGCTTGAAGCAGATCAAGTGCAGATTCAAACACAAGCCGTTGGATTAAACTTCAAAGATGTGCTTGTTGCCATGGGCGTGGTTGATAGTGCCTCGAAGGATGCTATCTTTGGCGTCGAGGGGGCTGGATACGTTAGCAAGGTTGGCACAAACGTTGAACATCTCGAAGTGGGAGACAGGGTCGTCTATATCGGAGCCGCCACGGTTGGTCTGGCGACGGAGATCCAGAGACAGGGATGCTTCACTCTGCGGATACCGGACCACCTCAGCTTTGACGAGGCGGCGACCATGTCCGCCGCATATGTCACGGTACTACTGGGTCTTGTTGAGAAGACACGTCTTGAAAGCGCACAGTCCATTCTCATCCATGCAGCCACTGGAGGTGTTGGTATTGCAGCAATCAACGTAGCCCGGTGGATCGGGCTGGACATCTACTGCACGGTGGGCAGTGAACGCAAGGCGGAATTCCTAGTCCAAGAGCATGGCATTCCTCGCGATCGGATATTCCATTCGCGTGATGCCAGCTTTCGAGATGATATCATGGCAGCGACGAATGGCGTAGGCGTGGACTGTGTACTTAATTCTCTCTCGGGAGAGTTGTTACACGCCTCGTGGGAGTGCGTAGCAGCGTCAGGCTGCATGGTTGAAATCGGAAAGAGAGACATGATCGGTCGGGGCCAGCTGGCTCTCGATAGATTTGAGGATAACCGCACTTACATCGGGATCGACATGAGCAGATATATCGTCACCAACCCAGCCAAGATCATCAAGCTGATGAACCTAATGTTGGACCTCTACTCCGACGGTCATATTCGGCCCATAGACCCCATCACATTTTACGACGCCAATGAAGTCCAAGACGCATTCCGGTACATGCAACAAGGATTTCATATCGGAAAGGTCGTCATCAGGTTTCCGAGGGCCCAAGAAGGAGTTCAATGGAGCTTGGAGACTCCCAAACCGTCATTTAGGCAAGATCGAGCTTATTTCCTCGTTGGTGGAATGGGAGGGTTGGGACGGGCCATTGCTACATGGATGGTCACTCATGGCGCCAGGCACCTTATTTTCCTGTCGCGCTCTGCAGGAAAATCAGAGAACGACATGACGTTCATCCGAGAGCTTGAAGCAAGGGGTTGCGCAGTGCAAGCCTGGGCCGGAGATGTCGTCGATTCCGCAACCGTGAAGAACGCCATCCAGCAGGCGCCAGTGCCGATTGCCGGTGTCATGCAAATGGCCATGGTGCTCTGCGACGTGGGAATATTGGACATGAGTCTCGATAACTACCATACTGCTCTAAGGCCAAAGGTGGATGGAACCTGGAATATCCATAATGCATTGCCAAACGAGGATCTCGACTTTTTTGTTATGCTCTCCTCGGTTTGTGGTCAGATGGGGTACTATGGGCAGGCCAATTACGCTGCTGCCAACACCTTCCTCGACACTTTCGCGCAGTACCGACACTCTCAGGGGTTAAAAGCATCAGTCCAGGATATTGGCGCCATCAATGATGTGGGGTTCATCAGCCAAAATCCCGCTGTCAAAGCCTCTATGCAGGCAGGATCAACACAACTGATCACCGAGCAAGACTTCCTCGATACACTGCAGTTGACCATCGCTAGATCGTCCAGTGGCCCAGGTTCATGCCCTGGAAACCCGGATGAGCCGGAAAATGGACTTTCCTTCCACAACCCATGTCAAGTGACCCAAATGTCAGAGTGTCAGTTGCCCATAATGGACCCAGAGAACCACATTATCTGGAAGCGCGACCCTCGTATGGCCATCTACCGAAACATTGAGACAACCTCTACAAAAACCGAAACCGCGAACAGCGGATTTAAATCATTCCTCTCGGATATCAACGCCGATCCCGCCTTATTACAGCAACCTGCGGCCGCAGAATTTCTGGCCCGGGAGCTCCGAGACCGCGTGGCGGCGTTTTTGATGCTCCAGGAGGGCGAAGAGCCGTTGGATCTTGGACTGACGCTCACGGAGGCTGGTGTAGATTCTCTGGTAGCAATCGAAGTGCGGAATTGGTGGAAGCAAAATCTTGGGGTGGAGATATCTGTGCTTGAATTGAAGAATGGGGGCAGTATGCTTGACATCGGAGGGTTGGCTGCGAAACGGCTCCGAGAGAAAATGGGTGGTAGTGCATAGTTGATTAGTGTACGAATACGCGCATACTTGTGCGCGGTTGCCATTTCCGCTTCGTGCACTTCACTCCAACCAAGTTACTTGTGATCCAACCATCTTAAGCATAGATCCGAGGGCCTAAATCGTTTCCAAATATTCCAAAAATTGGATATGACCTAAATGTGTTTATATAAGTTTTATACACTTGAGCTTTATAAATCCATCCTACAAACAATGCGTGATTTGCGTCATCCTGCAGGTGCCCACTTGGTGCAGTCCGCATAAAAACTAACTTCTGGCATAGCTTGTCTGCTGCCATTGATCAATTTTTCAAAGACCCGGATTATTTCTTTTACTCTTTCATTTGCTCGCGAACTGTTTCTTTGCATAATCTTAAGAAATTAGAGCCGCAGTACCCCATATATTGTATAGCTAGTAGGTTAGTATTAATCCAGACATGCCCTGTCTTATAGAGTGTCGTTGGTAGATCCCATACCAAGCTCCACCAACTCAGACTCCAGACTCGAGAATTCTGGACAAAGCATATTAAAATCAGGTGTAGGAATAAAACACGGGTCCGGGGGCCTTGCAAGGCCATCGGTCACCAAACGAATGCTCAATGAGCGAGACGTTCAGTTAGATGCCGAGGAAAACGCATCTGGGCAAGAATCAGTTTGGCGGAGTGTCTACAACTTGATGCGTTGCCCATCTTCCTCATGCCATCTTGGCCCACATTGCTGGCAAGACCCGCATGGCAAAAACACTATAGACTGAGGAGCCATCATTTAAGGCGTCTAATCTCCTTTGTGGAGAAAGGCGCCCCCTTGCGGTCTCACGAGGACGTTCCGGACAATTTTCGTGAAGAGCTATATATGGAAGAGCGGCACAGACTTGTGAGCCAACAATCTAAAAACAACAAGATGGTCGGTACTCCAGAAAGCTGTCATCCTATTAATATGCACTTCAATGGGATGCAATCTTCTCCGCAATCAGAGACGTCCAACACAGCCGCAGCCTCGGCAATGCTTCTGTCGCCAAATCACCAAGTCATAGATGACCTCAATATTAGTGGACTACTAGATGAAGCTGTCAGAGATTATAGAGCATGGCATGAAGCGAACGTTAAGGACGACAACTTGAAAGCTCAATTCCGGCAAACATGCAATGTGGCATTAGCCAGTGGTCTAGACCTTAAGCTGATCTACGAGGACCAAGATCCGTCATTCTTCATCCACAAAGGGACTATGGTAGGTATCGCACGCCAATTCGTGAGAGATATTGGCCAATGGGCTAAGTGTGTGAGGAATGTCTCGCGGGTCGATCAAGCTACCCAGGCCGCAGCTTGAACGTGTGGAAGATGTAGGAAGGCGTTAGTAAAGAATTTAGATTGACTCTTTAATCACTTCTGTTTGATGAATCTCCTTTAGTAAATAACTGAACCACAGCTGTGGTAATACAGAAAGTACAGAACTAAACATAGGAAACGCCCATGAAACGCCAAATTGGTTCATCTGCTGTCAGGAATTGACGATATGCGCGACTCGCCGCTAGCCATTTCCGCAGGCCGAGGTAAAGATCCATCTAGTTCTCCGACTATTCTTCCATCCAGCTCTTCCACATTAGAACTCGGATCGCCTTGTATCGATAGCGGAGTCGGTCGGGGAGAATTTTGCTTTCTTTTTCGCTCCCAAAAGGCCCAACCAAGAGAGGCAATAGCGATAGCCCCGAGAGGAATACCGAGACCTGCGCCAACCGCAACCATTCTCATATCGTCGCGGCTTATGCATTGTGAGGTCTTTGTAATAGTTGGCATTGAAGCGCTAGTACTTGTAGAGTTATTGGTATTTCTCGTGTTTGTATTGTTGATCGGCCCGATGGAGTCGCATTCAGACTGCGACACGAGACCGGTGAGAGCAGCTGTATTGGAGATAGGGAAACTGTTGGCTAGCAAAAAGGGCAATTGCTGAAAACTTCCATAAAGGCCGCAGCTCTTTTCTTTTTGTTTCACGATGATTGGACCGCAACAATAATGTGAATTGACACTAGAACCGTTTAGCCAGGAAATGCTAGCAGGCCCGGTTACATTGTATGAGCCTGAATTTAAATACATTAGTAACTATAGGGAATAACAATATTGTGATGAGAGCCTCAGCACTTACTACAAAGAGTAGGACAGCCTGAACCCCAGCTCTCATCAGTACAACTTTCGCGCGACAGCCCGAACGGCTGTTCAAATGATAAGCACAGCCCACTAGTAAAGCACATCGACTCTGAACTGCAACAATGCGAGGTATTTCCATCAGTATAACACGGCGTGTCATTGCTTCTAGCACCATTGGGATAATAGCACTGTGTGGCAGCACTCGGCGTGACCAAAACACCCACCAGCGCCAGGAGAATGATCATGTCACTCAACAGTGACCAGCTCATCGGTTGTTCAACTTTCGGCGTTGGATCGATCAACGATCCTATATCAATTTTTTTTTGAAGCACAAAGGATGCTAGAGAAGAATGAGTCAGTTAGGAGTGAAAGGAGGGAAACGAGGATTCACAAGAGCCAAAACGCGAGTCGGGGGCCATTTGGCCCAAGTGGATCACTATTGGGGCTAGGTGACCTCGTGAACCTATAAACTGCGACTGTGATGGTCAAGGGTCCGGACCTCTGACTCGTGTAGCTCTGATAAGTCCTCGAACGCGACAAACACAGCTTGTGACTTGCGCATCTAATACAAATATGATTATATTTTTGGGGATTTGGTTATAATTGTCTTATGAATAAGGGGCATCGTAATACAATCATGTAAACCTCCCCTCATGCTCAACGTGGCATGTTAAATAGTCTACTTGTCGAACGAAACCGGATTTTGCTTAATCAAGATACCATCAAAACAAGCCACTATAATAGCCTCGAATCTAATCTGCTACTGGTCAAAAGCTTTGTCCCTAGCATTTTGAAGTAACAACGACAGAAGAAAGTATTCAAACAGCGGAGCCTACCCACATTAGTATGGCAGGGTTACATAGTCATGTGGATCCCACTCCGTGCTTTGGCCGCTATGTTGTCCAGTTTTTTCCCCCTATTCCCGCCCGATATTATATTTCTTCACTATCATACATCCAACTTCAGGAGGATTCAACTCATTTTATCGGCCGAGCAAGCAGCGGTCTTTCGCTTAGATGGGGCCTTCGAACCTGTTCAGGGCCTTGGCTGTCCAACTAATCATGTTTGACCTACTGATTACGCATAGCACTGCCGCACAGTGCTATTATCCCAACGGCGCCCAGAGCGGTGATACGGCATGCTACGATGGCGGTAGTCTTACGCATTGCTGCAGCTCGGAATCAATATGTCTTACGAATGGGCTATGTATGTCTTTAGAGCAGCCATATGGGCTGTCACGCGAAAGCTGCACTGATCAGGATTGGGGCTCTAGTTGTCCAAAATATTGCCGTGAGCTTTGATACCTCCCTATTAGCTTAATGACTTTTATGAAGAATCAATACTCAATTTTTGATATAGGATCATACAACAAGACTGGGCCTTCTACCGTTGCCTGGTATAATGGCTCTGGCGTTGATTCGAAGTATTGTTGCGGCTCTATTATTGTCAACCAAACCGAAACGACTTGTGGCGCTCTGAGTAATGGCCAACACCAAGACTCTTTTGCTATCGATGATGGTACCTACGTCGCCAACGTTGCGGCTCTTTCCCGTCTTCGAGCGCAATCCACCTGCGACTCCGCCGGGCTGACCAATAAAACAAATACTAGTGACATTATTAGCCCTATCAGTATTCCCACAGCAACCGCAACTGTCACAAAGAGTTCACAATGTCCAGGGCAATATAGCACGAAAGTCGTCGCCGTGTGTACAGGGGTGGGAATCCCTCTTGGAATAATTGCTCTTGTCTCTATCGTTTGGGCTCTTTGGGAGCGAAAGAGAGAGCTTTTGGTTACTCAGCCGGTTCAGCCATTTATGCAAGATAGCCCGAACTCCAATCCAAGCGAACTCGATGGAAATAAGATCGGAGAGCTAGAAGGATCTTTACCTAAGCCTGCCGAACTAGGTTGCAGCGCGACTTGCGGGCGATGATGTATTCAACGTTTAATAAAGAATTGACGTATCAGCACACTTTTCTGCGTCTGAATCCTCAGATTAGAAAAATCGTGCTGAGCAGGAACAAATCTTATGTATTACCTTTCCCAGGCTTCTAGAGCATCCTTTCTCATGTTTTGCACGAGCATTAGGTAGGCACATTGTAACTCTATGAGTTTAAGGCCCAGAAACATGGACGGGACATGCAAATTTCACTAGTCGGAGTACCTGCATATCTCGAGTAATTTTGAACTATCGTGATCTTATCCGAAACGCGTTATTCATAACCTGCCAAAGCAAGTTGCGAATCGGCCAAAGGCATTAGGAATTAGATAGAACTTGGGATAAAACCCGACGTAGATCGATAGCACCTGTATGATTTTCCACGGCCTAGTTGTCGAAGTGAATGCGCGCTCATGGATGTGGAAAAACGCCAAACAATAATCAACACTGTGACTGCGGCTTGCAATCGAGGATGCTTAGGACGTACGTGAATGAACGAAGGAAATCGGGTCTGAGATGCGCGAATGCCAAGTGGAGTTGATCCAAAATGTCCTCCAAGAACTGCTGGTGGGCCTTTTCGTCGTTGGTAGTCCCGATAGGAGACAAACTGGTAGACAATCCCACAGCCCGGAAGATGCTGAACGCTGCACAGCGATTGAGCCGAGTCAGATAAATCGGGGCCTCGATTTTCCAGTGCCGGGTGTGGAGGAGGTGCTGGGCACTTTTTGAGTGATAAAGGAAAAAAATCATCGATGTCTAACACATTCAAGGCCCACTCGCTAGCAGCACGGAATGTGACCGCAAGGTAAACTTTGGGGGCCAGAGCATAACAGATCCTCGAGTTGACTTGGCTCAGACAACGGAGAGCAAATGGCGGCAACTTAGCATCATCCGCGAGAATCTCTCATTCAATCAGGATCTGCGTGCCCATTCTACGATAATCGCCGAGATCTCGATCGGGAGATGTTGGAGCATGTTTTGCTATAATCGCGTCTCAATTCCAATGCTGGTCGATGCAATGCGAGCCTCACCAGTTTTGTAAGCCACAGGTGGCGTTTAGGTACATGCCTTCCCCCAGGTATCCTGGACAGAGAAGGATACTTGGTCCGATACCAGAAACATCTTGTCCATCTTTCGCTGGTGACTGACGGCTCCTGTCCCCATGCCGCCAGTCATTTAGGCGCGCTTTCGGAATTTCTTCCCTAGAGGCCCTGGAATGGGAGGGCATCCAGTACGCGATTGAGGCCAAGCTACTACGGCAATGCATCCGTCGAAATCAGACGCAATTGAAGACCCTTTCTGTTGGACTATGTCGGTCATCCCATTGATGCCTTTGTCTAGTCATCTCATTGATGCCTCCATTTGTTTGCAGACTGAGCCTTTCTTTGTTTGGCAGGGTATAAATCCCCTGCTCTAGATAGATGAATAGATCATGATTCTTCTTCCTCTCTCTCCCCCCCATAGTTAGCAGCCTCAACACTTTCAATTACATTTAGCCCATCAGCCCGAACGCTGGACTTCTATCAAAATGTGCTTGGGCTACAAGGACCGGCGTGCTTGACCGGAACAGACGCCGTGGATCCTACTCCAGGATTTCTACCTTCTCTCACATCCTTGACACTTTCAAGGGTACTCCTGCAGAAAACCCCGGTGACTGCCTGGTCGATAGTCACTCGCTTGAAGTCCCTGACATTGAGCGACTGTTTGAATTCCTGCGCGTTTCTAGAGGCACTACTTGAAAGCAGCCCCCATTTCATCCAAGTCCCTCATTTAGTGCGAGCCCGATTTTGCATTACTGACAGGGTGACCCAGGATTATCCATTGTTCAATTACACTGATCGTTACTCATCTAATTGTATAGGTGCAATTTGAGGGCGAATGGTCAATATTTGAGTGCCATGCTCACCCCACTAGACTATGCAATAAACATCAGCGAGGGCAAGCTGTGGACGATCAAGGGTAATAAATAAATTTGATTGTGGGCCGAAAGGCCCACGGCGAAGGCAACGGGTTCCGCTTGGTACGAAGACCCATAGGGGCCAGGGTTCAAAACCCCTTTTTAGGGGGATTTTATGCCTGAATGCCTCAATTTAGAACGGCAGAAAATTTAAAATACCTGAATTACTATTACATATGCCTTAGTAATCAAAATACCCTGATACTGCTGGCGTTTACAAGTCCAAAAAATGAAGCTTTTGACCTCTATAAAAATGCCGGTATCTCCATTATTTCTTCTGGTTTACAAGTTTAAAAAATGAAGCTTTTGGACTGCATACAAATGCCGGTATCTCCAGGTTTCTGGTGGTTTACAAGACCGGAGCAGAAGAAGTTACGGCGCATGAAGGAGAAGGAGAGAAGAAGAGAAAGATCAGAAATAAGCCGGGGGGTCGAATCCCCATGTTTTGGACTTCCAAACCGCCCAGAAATATGGAGATACCTAAATTTGTATGGACGTCAAAAGCTTCATCTAGGCATGTTGATGTATTAACAATTTACAGTACACTGTATTAGGGCGGTGTATAAAGCAGTTCTAAATTCAGGCATTCAGGCATAAAATCCTCCTAAAAAGGGGGGTTTGGACCCTGGCCCCTATGGGTCTTCGTACGCTTGGTGTTTGAGAAAGTGAAACAGCCTTGTGGGCTTACTAGTCTCACCCTCTAACAAAGCCATGCAAACTTAATATTATTATTAGATCCGACTTTCTTCTTCCAGAAACAGGAGATGGTTGGAAACCTAGTTAACTATCTCCATTAAGGGAGGGCCTACTATTTTTGCACGTCACATGCGTGCAGCTCTCAATACCAAGACATCCAGTTTCAGGTAGAAGCTCTGATTGTTTTGACAAAGCTACTGTTTCACACAGAGACCTCAGAATAGGGTCACATCTACAGAAGAGCTCTAAGTGTAATATAAATAGCTGGCTTGGATTCTTGAATTCATTTGTTTTTCCTGTATCCCTAAAATATTTTGATTCTGCTTCCGGGCTCTTTTCTTGTCACCAATCATGAACTTTGTTAAGATCTCATCTCTCCTCTTGCTGGCCACCCAGGCTACTGCACATGGCCTGATTACCCGTATCAAAGGCGCGAACGGTGTTGAGATGCCGGGACTAACAGGTAACAGGTTATTGTTGAGCCTTCGGTTTTTCAACATTGGTTAATGATTGGCTCCTAGTTGTTGATGGAACACCACGCGACTGCCCCTCTGCTGTGTGCGGCGGGCAGAAAGATACCGCAGTGATCCGAGATCAGGAAATGGGAAGCATTAAGGCATCGGCTTTGGGCCGCACTCTGGTTTCTGGTCCTGTGGACCCCAAGAGAGTAATCGTGCATTTCATGACAGCTAAGACCGAGACACGGGCTCACACCCGCCATTTTCCTCAAGGTCCTCAATATTCTTGCAATCTTAGATCCTACTCCAGCGACTAATGTCTCTTATAGCCCGCCAACTGATCAACGACGCGGCTAGTGTCGTCACTAATGCCGGTGGAGCTATTCTCAATGGTCAGTATGAGCGTTGAAGTTTCTTGATTCCTCACAAAGAAAAACTAACCTATTTTCTAGGCGCTCAGGATCTTGCGGACAAAACGCCTTTTGGTGGTGCTATCAAGGGTAAACCCTCCTTCCTTGACTGAAAAAGAAATTGACACTCATGAAATCAAAAAGGTGCGCAATCAGCTGTTGATGACGTGGCGGGTGCTCTACCACGGACCAAATCTGGCGCAGTAACACCCAGTGGTACTGTAGAGAAAGGGATCGAGGATTATGCTGGCAAAGGTTCTGTCAATGGATTGCCCTCCGTTTCTGACGTGGGAGTCATCACGATGATTTATCATCAGGTTCGTCACAGGTCACGGCGCTACTTTACTTATCCCTTGCTTACTATTTCGACATAAAGGTAAATCAAGACGGTGCAGGTCCTTTGTCAGCGGACATCGACGCAACGAGTGGAGGTACCGACTCTAAAGCGTTCAAACCAGCCAAAGTTATCCAAAACATTCCAGGCGTCGCAGGATTTTCAACCTCCAGCACCATGGATTATGAGGTTAAGGTTCAACTGCCCTCGGGGATGAAGTGCACCGGCGTTGTTGGTAACATCAAAGATGTCTGCATCGTGCGGGTCAGAAACAATGCCATTTCAGGCCCTTTTGGGGGTTCGGCTGCTTTCACAAACTGATATACTATGGAATCACTGGCAATTTTTGGCATGTTAATAAACTACAATATGGGATGGCCTCAGGTTCGACCTAGGGCTATAGGTCGTTTCGCCTAACCAACCAGATCTACCAAATACCAGTAAAGAATATATTATAATCCCGATCGAGCCTCGGTCGGCCGCCTCCCAGGGGGTAGGGCGCCTGCTTGACTAGAACTACCGACGCATGGCTGCCAAAAAACCGGCCGATTTTACTCCCCCCGAACAAAATATAACCGGGGACTCGATTCCTGTCGAGAAGGCCTGTAGTATGATTACTATTCCCCTCGTTGTCGTAGATAGTGTCACTGTGCTGGCGTTTGGCTGGGTTCTAAAGTATGGTGCGCCTCTTGCGGCTCTAGAGGTGCTTCTATTTTCGTTGGCGTAGGACAGAATGATGGTTTCATGTCCACATCCACCCTGCTGGTCGACCTACACACAGCTAACCCGGCTGTTGCTACCGCTGCCAACAACTTGGTGCGGTCTTTCTTCTCGGCCGGGGCTTCAGCTGCCATCAATCCTATGCTGACAGCTATGGGTCGAGGATGGACATTCACGCTGGTGACATTCATTTTGCTATCGACAATTCCATTCCTGCTGTTGCTGAGTGGGATGTGGCGTCAATGGAAAAAACTCTCCAGGGGGACCTGAGAATTGATAAACGTTGGTGGCGCATTACCGATATAAATATACCCCGAATGCTCGAGATGGTTAAAATCAACCACCCTCATTAATGCTTGGTAATTCCTAAATTACTGCCCAGGTGAAATTTACGTTTATATTCAGATTGCCCAAAACACCTTGTGGGAAGCCCTACCGCAAGATTTCAAAATAGTTGAGATCGCAAGACCATAAAGAAACTACATGCATACAAATGATGCGGAATGAAAACAGGCGGGATAGGGCTTATTATATGGACTGGTGGTTTAAAATCCCATTCTTTGGTAACTGTTACATGAGTAAAAAATGTGTACAAAATTGATAATTATCAAAGCCGTATCTTAGCATAGCTCCACGCTCTAGTAGTGCTTTGCTAAATACTATGACCTGGTTGGTCGCTCCATAGACTGTTCCATAAATCCAGCAAGAATGGCGGCACGACTTTCAGCTTCCTCAATAGTGGACTTGTCTTTGAATACAGAGTCCATCTGCTCCAGGGTACGACCGGCGGTCTCAGGAACAAGGAAATACACCCATATTCCCGATAGAGCGCTGAAGCAGCAAAAGAAGACGTAAGTACCAAAGCCAATGTTCTGGAGCATTGGAGGTGTAATCAACCCCTAAAGAAATAAATTAACAAACTGGCTCGCCTTTCAGTATACTGGCAGTACTCACAATGATAAAGTTGTTGCCCCAATTAGACATGGTGCCAAAAGCACATCCTTTCGCACGAAGCGAAGAAGGGAAGATTTCCGCAGGCATTGCCCAGGGGATAGGACCCCAGGTGGCTCCGAATGACAACATGAAGAAGAGAATCAAAGCCACACTGGCCCAGCCAGCCGCAGTATTATCGGTCCATTTTCCATTGTATTTTCCGACCAGAATGGAAATGATAAAGTGCGAAAGGAACATGCACAGCGCGCCACCCAAAAGAAGCTTGCGGCGGCCGAAGTGGTCCATTCCCCAAAGAGACCAGACACAGGCGACAACCTGGCAGATGTTCATCACACCTGACATGGTCAGTTGCATCTCGTAGTCTAGGCCCATTGTTTCGAACAGGGTTGGCGAGTAATACTAGAGACATCGACAGTTAGAAGGGCTTCAAGTAGCTTCGCGCAATGGGGTGTAGACTCACAATGAGAGCGTTGATACCAACAAACTGTTGGAAGAACATCAGGCCCACAGCTACCTGAGTGCGTTTATAGATGGGCATTTTCCAGCAATCAACATACAGCGCCAATTGAAGCTTGATAGTATTCCACAATCCAGGGCTAATCAGATCGGGGTGTTTCTTTTCTGATGCCTCCTTGCAATATGCGCATTCAGCCCGAATTTCGCACCATTCCCGCAGAACTCGCTCGTCGCTGGTGGGTAGTTCACGAATCTTGGCAAGTGTCTGAAGAGCCTCTTCATCTCGACCGCGCTGGCACAGCCACCTAGGAGAATAAGGCAACATGAAGACACCGGAAACCATGAAGATAGCCGGGATCATTTGGATCAGGAAGGGAAGACGCCATGACCAGTGACTTGGAATATGGCGCGTGCCGTAGGTGATGTAGAAGGCGATGACAATGCCAGTGACAATGCTCAGTTCCTGAAGAACCAGCAGAGTACCTCGAATCTCAGGAGGAGCAATCTCAGAGATGTAAAGCGGGGCGACCATAGCAAGCCTATAGGGAAATTAGAACAGGGGCAAAGATCGACGGAAACCGGTTCCCGGCCTTACATTCCCACGCCAACCCCTCCTATAAAGCGGGCGACGGTCAACATAGCAAAGGAGACTGATCCAGTCTGTAGAGCGGCACCAAGGAGGAAGATACAGCCAGCAGTGAATATGCTCCATTTGCGGGATATCTTGTCGGCGATCCAGCCCTGGTTCAGAGCACCTGCGACTTATTAGCCCATCCTTAATGTGATAAAGTATTTCACACTACTTACCAATGAAAGCCCCCAACTCAAGAATAGCAGTCATGAGGCCCTTTTTGAATCCAGCTCCCGGGTCATCTGGGGAGACCTCAGGAAACTCCTCAAGGAATTGAGGCATCACAAGCGTAATCGATACCACACCCTGGTCATAACCAAAAAGGACGCCTCCCATGGTAGCAAATAGTGCACATAGAAACACGTATTTCGAAGAGAACAGCCCCCGGATTCCGCTCTTGGTGTAGGTGGGACGTGACTGCCAGACTGGAGCACGATTGTGTTCATCGGCGGACTCGGCGGATCCTTGGGGGAGAATTATCCCTGTTTGGACATTGTTCAAAGACACAATCTCCACATGATTAGAAGTGTCATTGTCAGTATCAGACAAGCTCTTCTTCTCCATATTGTCAGTGTTGGAAATAGATGTAATGATATAGGATAAATAGGTAGGAGTAAGCCCGGTGGGGAAATTATATAGTGGAAATCTGGGGAATATGGGGAAGCTATTTATGTAACTTGACTAGTTTGCTTGCGGGGTACATGAAGGGACTCCATAAGTCTCCATAGGGGTGTAGGAGGCGATCTCTGATCCTCTCGAATTCTTTGCGTGCTTCGGCCATGATTGCCGATGCTCTACCCAGCTTTGGCCAAGGGCAAGGAATATGGAATCCGAGCCTTGGGCGAAATAGTCTTTTTAGTCCCGGATACATAACGCATATATGTCTGTAATACAGGTGTACGATCTGCAAGTACGGTATCTCGTCTAAATATGCCTCAACTTGGCAGCAGAGAGAAGATTGCCTGCCTGGAATCCTAAGTGCGAATACCGGCTATGTGAAAAAAAAAACGTTTTAGGTTCGAGTTAAACCTCACGTACCGGTCCTCGCCAAGAAACCCAACTCATCAAATGTATCTTTTGTTAGGGATTAACATATAAAAGGTACATACGATAAATTGTCAGTTTCTCAAGCCTCGAAAAAGACAAAATAATTATACGCTCACTAGTCGAATTTGACTATCTAAAGAAATATATCCTCTATAATAATAAATAATCCCTAATGAGGGCTCCTGGTATAGGTATAGCGCGAATAATTTTCGGAGGCTGTTTTAACCCCCTTTGAACTTCCGGCTATAGCACTATAGAAACGGCAATACAGGAATTGAGGTGGGACTATATCGGGTTATATATAGATAAAATAGTAAAATCAGGTTTATTATCGGACCTTAAAGTAAAGAAACAAATGATTGGACTTATGTACCTTTTATATGTGAATCCTTAGTAAAAGGTACATTTGACGTCGAGCAAGTTTCAACATGTTGCGATTTTGTTGATGTAGCGAGTGCCAGGAATTATCTACATATGTACCTAATCTGTTACTGAAAATCAGTGCCATAGATGAGGATGCTGGTCTGACCAGCCAAAACCTCTCCAATTGTGCCGACTACATGGCATTGCACGACGCTACGCTGCCCCATTTGCGCTGGGAGCTTTACCAACGATGGAAGAGCTACGGCGATGGAAATGCTATTGTGTCCTCCAATGATGACAAGACCAGCTATTGTCAGCTAGTGCGGCAAGTTGAAAGCAAATATGCGGCGCTCAGCAACAATGAACTGCAGGCGAGAGAGGTTGTGGCCCTGGGAGACGCGATGGGCGTCGAAATGGTGGCTACTCTTGTGGCCTGCTGGCTACGGGGGCTGACGGTGGTATTGGTCGACGGGAGCCAGCCCGAGGCACGCCGGCGGCGGCTCCTTGGCATTGCGGCACCGTCCCTGATTGTCGACCATGATGGCGAGGTGGCCAGGGGTGTTGCCAATGCACGACATTGCATCTATTAGTACCTCACAGGGCCGCCGGAGTCCATCCCAACCGCTCTGATTGTAGATGGTGCCTATATGGTATTCACCTCTGGCAGCACAGGCAAACCCAAGGCTATCCTCGGATCTCATCAGGGGCTGGCACACTTTATCTGCTGGCAAAGCCGGGAGTTTGGCATTACTCCACATGACCGTTTCGCCCAACTGACCGCTGTCGGGTTCGACGTCATCTACCGTTCCGTGTTGACGCCACTCTTTTCTGGCGCTCAGCTCTGGATCCCGCCTCACGACGTCAGCGAAGGCGAGGCAATGCTGGAGTGGCTAGGCCGCCATCGTATCAACGCCCTGTCCGATCTACGCTGCATCTTTAGCGGCGGCGAGATGCTACACAGCAAGGTGGTGCAGGCCATCTGTCGACAATGGGCATTTACGGGACAGCTCGTCAACCTCTACGGCCCTAGCGAGACGACACTGGCGAAGTGCTTTTACCGCTGCCAATCCGGGGACGAGGTACGCGGCTCTATACCTGTTGGCTTGCCGCTGCCAAACACTGAGGTCTGGATCATGGACGGCAGCCGGCGGTGCGCTCCCGTCGAGCCAGGCGAGGTAGTCATCCGCACCCCGTATCGCGCGCTCGGCTATGTTAATAGCACCGGTACGGCCTCGTGGCCAACGGCTAATGCTCAAAAGTCGGAGGACTACCTGTACTATACCCGCGACCTGGGGGGTATTAGCCACTTCTTCCTCAACTATCCGGACAAGGTGACCGCGGACTGGTCCGTGGCCCTCGATTTTTATTGCCGCCAGGTCCAAGACCTGATCCAGGAGGCACCGGAGCAACCCGTCTGGCTCGGCGGCTGGTCCATGGGCGGCAACATTGCCGTGGCAGTGGCCGAGCGGCTCGCAGGGGGTTGCCCGCAAATCCGCCCGCGGCTCATCGTCTTGGACTCGTTGTCCGGGTATTGTCAGGGAGTGCGTCAAAATAGGGACGTCACCGAGGATGTATGGAGTCCATATCACCCGGAAAATATCATGTACCGTCAATTCGCCATGGCCGGCTATTCACGACACCCTTACTACCACTATGTCGACTGCCTTCGCCATTTGGACGCCATGCAGGTCACGCATTGCCACTACCCGGTACTGTTGATCAAGTGCCTCGAGCCAATTGGCCAATTTTACTCGGACATGCCGGATAATTACTGGGGAAAATTACCGACAGTGTCGTGGTGCACGGCGTCGCAGCTAACCACTACAGCTTGCTCACTGATAAGGCTGACATTCATCAGGTGGCCGACATTGTACGCTGCGCACTGGACTATGGTGGCAAACATGGCTATTAATACTACATTGCGGCATATTGACGGGGACTAAGAATCCCACTTTAGGGTTTTTCTCAACGGCGGCTTCCAAAGCTAGTGCCACCTATTATCACATTGGATCAAAAATGTCTTTTGAGACATTCTGTGGGTGTACTTCAACTCATTCCTCTATGGTTCCATTCAGCTAACATTTCATTCTCAACTAGGGTTCCCTCCATGGGTTTTATCAATGAATGACATCTATGATCTCCCAGTTGGTACAGGAGGCTAACCGAAAACGAGAGGAAGAGGAATTGGGCCAACCACCTGGGCAGGGGGAAAACAGGCCTTCTTCATTGCGAAGAAACACAATCCGCCAAACCCATTACACCCCTTGCAGAAAGTATACTATCCCCTCAATTCTTTAGCATTAAACAGCTGGCTAACATTTTTTCTTTGACCAGTTTTTCATCGAGGGGATCTACAGCCGTCGCAATTCTCACGGTTGGGGTTTTCTCAACCGCGGCTTCTAACGCTAGTGCAGTTGTCCAACACGAACTTTGATAAGAGCAGGTTATTTAAAAAAAATATATTCATAAAAATATAAAAGAAAGCTAGGGCAAAAAGACAGATAGACAGATATCGTATCTTTCATACTGGTAGCAGAAACGGTCTGCATAGATATAGCTCTCAATACGTGTCACGTAACTCATGCCATCTCAATCTGCTCATCCTCGGTGTCTTGTTTCTTCATAATTGTCACATCATCAGAAGGAATAATATATGTCGCCCACTGGCGAACGGGAACCTTGTCCTGGAAGAGTCTCTCAATCTCCGCATTGGTTCGACCCGCGGTCTCACCAACACAGAACCACGAATACGCTAGCAGAAACAGAGTGGTTGCTCCATAGACGAACCCGATCATTGGACCTAAATTACCCGTGTAGTACATGTAGGGGCTGGTGAAGACCATGAGCCAGACTGTGAGGAAGAAGACACCCATAGCGCACGAGGTGATCTTGTTTCTGTTGCGGCCGACAGACATTTCCGATGCGATGGAGTACGAGAGGGTACCGATGGAGAAGTTGTAGAAGATGATGTTGATGTAGGCGAGGACGACGATGCCGATGCCGATGCCACGGCCGAAGGTGCCGTCTGGAGATCGGGTGGTGCCGAGGCCGCCGACGGCGATGAGAGAAACAAAAATACCCACTGAGCAGATGAGGAGGTTAGTGCGGCGCTTGATCTTGTTTCCGAGGACGACTGCGAGGCCGACAGTAATGATTTGCAGGACGTAGATAATGGTGTTGATGGTGAAGGGATCCGCGACGCCGATAGACTGCGCGAAGACAACGCCATAGGTGTACCAGAACTGGATTCCGTTGATCTGCTGGACGAACATGGCGCCGCAGGCGTAGAAGAGCTTACGGCGCTCAATAGGATCCGTGATGAGCGAAAGCCAGGTAGCGTCCTTGGCCATTTCACGCTCCATTTCGACTTGGTCGTCGATGGCTTGGATGTCCGCTGATGGGTCATAGTCGCGACAGCTGCGGTTGATTTTGCGGAGAGCCTTGATGGCTTGCTCACGCTTGCCTTTGTACATGTACCACACTGGGCTTTCGGGTGTGAAGGGAAGGCACAGAACCATGATACCAGGAAGAACAACCAGCAGGCACATGGGAATGCGGTAGGATTGAGCACTGGCAATGCCCTGCGTGCCTTGATTGACGCAGGCTCCGACTAATTGCGAGATAGACTGCATGAACTGGAAGCACATGAGAGCCGGACCTCTGATGGCAGACGGTGCCACCTCTCCAATGTACATCAGACAAGTCGCGGTGAACTGCCCGATACCTAGACCAATCAGAACACGACTGACATAAAAGATTGGATCGGAGCCAAATGAGCACACTTGGACGATGGCTCCGATGATGATACAAAGAGAGGCCGACAGGAACACAGCACGCCGGCCGAAAAAGTCATTAATGGGAGCGGCAGCAATGGCTCCAACTAACTCTCCGACATAGATGATGCTAGCAGACAAGGACAGGAAAGATGTTCCAAGGGAATAGGAGCCATCTGCGTTTTTCTCCCCATAGTCCTGGGCAAACCATGGCATACCCTGGATGCCAGTATAGTAGATCGTATCGTAACCGTAGCAAAGGGCACCGATGGCAGCCACCAGACAGTACGCGATGGCCCGCCGATTCGACTTCCAGTCAATCTTGAGATTAAGACCGGCCATGTGGGGCTTTGTGGGGGGTTTTTTTTGTTGAGGTGTAATAAAGAACAGTAAACCGAGGAGTCCACGGCGGAAGAACAAAAATTCAGTGAAATCGATGTTGCGGGGGAACGATGTTTTTTATACCTTTCTGGAGGAAAAGTTGGCAGACCAAACCAACAACCCGGAGGCCCACATGTCGGGGTAAAGTCTCCACGGGGTAAGCCACGGTCGAGCATCTTCAAAAGTCTCCATTTCAATAAGATCCCCAGTGATCCACTAATGGCTCAGGTGGTGATTCGCCCCCGAGTACTCACTCATCTCACCCAAACGCGTCTTTTTGAGTAGATCCATCATTGAGTCGAGAGACCCCTGATCCGCTTTCCTCCAGTCAACATGGAGGCCAAAACATATTTGCCTATGTGGGTTACTCCATTATTCGCGCACTTGCAGAGGCTTCCAAAGGTTTTTATATACTACTTTGAAGATAGGGACAGCTTCACATATTTTTAGAGGTGTTCGATCTCTTTCTAATGGCTGCCGATAGAAATCCCTAACGAAAAATAGGGGGGAGAGGGCAGATCGGAGCAGAAGCCGACAAATGGCAACAAAAACTCGGCAAATGTGATCGGCCCGCCGCCAAGCACAATCCCGAAACGGGATATCGCCGAGATTTTGTCAAATTTTCTCCGTCGGGCCAGTCAAACTTCCACTCCCAAAACTCCTATGGGGTACAAGCATGTTTCAAGGAAACTGGGGTAATCGGGGTAATCCGGGCTTTCTAGGCGGGGTTACAGGCCCCCTCCACGTTTTCTTATTCTCCACCATCTGTAGTTTTCTTCACTCTTTTTGAGTATATATATTCGCTTGCAACAGAGGTAAAATCATAAGCCTTCGAATTATACCGTGTCAAAGTGACTTCGTTGCTTTTATCTTTATTTTGCCTCTACAGCGAATGCATCTCTAGTATTTCCTTTGACTAAGGTTTCGTACGCCAAGAATATGTACGTAGAGCCAAGCTGCTAGGACGGGAAGCCTGATCCATAATGAGGTATACCGACACTTGACCGAATGACAAATCGGGAGCAGAAGAAGCCCGGTATCGGGATTAGTGAAAATGCAGATCAATTCGGCAAATCGGGATGCTGTCACGGCTCGGCCAAAATCCCGTGAAGAGTTTCTTGGGGCTGCAGCCCAGCGAGGCTATTCTCAGTGACAGTTTATCGTTTCTAACTGGAAAATATTATGTTCTCGTGCTTTTAATTGATTATTTGCTTTCTTCTTATTTACGGTTCACTCCCAAAATCCTCAAACTTTGCATAATAGTATGGATGCACTATGTATTTAGCGAAGTGAAATTGTTGAGGTACCAACAAGGGATGATTGGAAGATGAAAAATAACGTTTGAGAGTTCCAAGGTTCCGGTTAACTATACGGTCACGTGACTGTGGTATCAACATTACATCACTATGCCAACACAATAGTGCCTTATATTAAATTCGTAATAGGACTAAAGTCACAGCATGGCCGCTATGCAGTACAAGTGAAATGCCGACTACTCATATAGAAAGCCTGTTCCTTATATTCTAGACTTTAAATTATTTCCCTTTTCCAACTATACATCTTACATTTGTCAGAACTCTTCATTCTAGTTACATGCAATGCAGTCTTTAATCCACACACTATCATACTTTAACACCCTGTAACCTTCATAACCTGGTGGCATGGCGAGTAAAACGCCTTCATATAACAACCCGTCCAATCATGGCTAAACCCTACAACCGCTCCTAGTACACCAAACACACGAGAAGAAAAGCCCCTCCTCCAAGGGCGGGAGGTTGACTAAATAGAGGGCTCAGCGCCGAATAGGGATAAACTCCAAAGGCTGCATCTTTACCTCAATATTCCAATCCGACCACACAGGAAACAAACATCTATACCAAAAGTGCGCTTAAGACCATGGATAAAGCGAAGAATTCCAATTTTAATCATTGGAGTACCACTTTTGAAAGTAAGAATGGTATTAGTATGTATGCATTAGGGTAGAAAGGTAGAAAGCAATAAATGAACATACAGAGTCACACCCTTTAGTATTCCATATCCGTTCCCGACATGCCTTTTGAACTTGCATAATAACGCGTCTCTGCTGCGGGTTTGACCACCACAGATATCGTATCGTCGTGAAGGACGCCGTTGAGAATGCGAAAGGCGTAATTAATTGAGCTGCCAGCTGGTCAGCCAAGGTATTGGGCCCTCCGTTCAGAAATTTCTAGAAGAGGGAGGGAAGAGAAGCCTTTCGATCAAATAGGAACAGAATAAACCAATGTTTGGACCGAAAGATCTACGTAAGAAAGCCAAAGTCATCTATAATCGACGGTACAATCTGTGCGGCGGTACCTATTTGAAACCACGGTTATCAGTGCAAATCTACCACGTGCCATAATGTAATAGATGCACCTATAGCCATTACCGATAAGGGCAGCTCTTTTACCTTTAAGATTAACATCACAATCCCAGAGTGCCGAGTGAACTATCGGACTATTGAATATTTCAGTACCAGGAATATCGAGCTCCTTAGGTTCGACCAGGTGCCCGCAGGCTGAAAATAAAACCCGGCAGTTTTAGACGTGCCCTTTATTAGTTATGATATTGTGGAGATTGACAACCCATTGGGATGTACTTTCATCCAAAAGGCACTGAGTTACCTATGTCAAAAGATCTTTCTCTCTAATCCGGGTTCTGCTTAAAAGAATAGCTATATAGCGGGCCTAGAATATCGCATGCACCTAGATTGACATTTAGGAGGGCTTTAGGGCTAAGAATATAACACGCCAAACACACCAGGATAGCTATTGGCCCATCAGGTCTTCGGTGTCAGGACTGCTTCAAAGATTCTGATACTGGTTATGCCGTAATATCTCTAGTTGCCCTAAAAACCAATTCCTGAAGGACCGGTCCCGATACAGCTAACTAGGTTATATAAGACCTCTGAATTATCCCCTATGTCTTTATTTAGCGACTTATATTAAAGCCCAAAAAGGTCTATCGAGTATAGTTGATATTAGTGAGGGAATAGATTCCGCAATGTCCCTCTTGTTGGTAAGAGATATTGCGTATTAAATAACCCTGAAAATCTCTTAGATGTTATCATCGTACTTTTTTTGTGTTTTCGCTATACAAACTTTGCTACCGTGGACAATTCTAAATACTTGCAAATAGTAGTCTCATTTCTGTACGGAGTTCCAGCGGACTAGAACTATTGAAACTTTACCCTATACTAAGAGGCTTATCGAGTATCACACCACAAGAGGTTGTGTAACTAACTATATGTCCTATGAGCCCTAGAGAGACACGAATATCCTAGGTTCGGGCGAACTAGGGAGATAGGGTCTAGTTGGATCCACACCGAAAGAGGAGAAAGTACTCCTCTTTACCCCAGTGCGTAGGCCGATCATATGGTAAAACTTAGTGTTGAGACTACAAGCTAGCACTGGGGAGAGAGAAGAAGAGGAATCATGATCTATTCCATCTATCTAAAGCAGGGGATTTATACCCTGACAAACAAAGGCTGTCAAACAAAGACAGGCTCAGTCTGCAAACAAATGGAGGCATCAATGAGATGACCGACATTGACACTTAGACGGGGGGCGCTTTGACATTAGTTACCACCTAAGCCTAGTCAGAAAAGGGTAAGGAGGCTAGCTTCGAACGTACATAATCTCCCTCCTCTCACTACCGTTCTCGTGTTATTTTTGGCCATATTATTGTACAATGAGCCTTCAACATGCTGCAGGGTTCCCAATTGTCTATGCCACAGTATTCCACTGTCTGGTTGAGGTCGCCCGTTTGAAAAAGGGGAGTCGATTTTAATCTGTGCGGCAGCAGGCGGCGTAGGGCAGGCAGCTCTGATCCTGCTCGCCAACCACATCGGTGCTCGGGTCTTTGCAACCGTTTCTTCGGTATCCAAGAAGAAAATTATGCTCGAGTACGGTGTGCTTGAGGAGAACATCTTCTACAGCCGCGACCTTGCTTTCGCGCAGGCCATTATGCAACAGACCAATCACCGTGGGGTGGATGTCGTTTTGAACTCTTTGGCAGGCGAGGCTCTTCGGGCCACCTTTGAATGCATGGCCCATGTGATCGGTTTATCGAGATTGGTAAACGCGACGTTATAACGAACGGACGGCTTGATATGGCACCCTTTCTCCATAGTGTGACCTTTGCCGCCTGTGACCTCAACACCATCCTACAACATGACCCCGCTTGGACCTATAATCTCCTCCAAGGGGCTATGGAACTCTGGCAACTTGGTGTCTTCCGACCAACGTCTCTGTTCACAACGTTCAAGTACTCCCAATTGGAAACGGCGTTCCGTCAGCTCCAGTCTGGTAGACACGGCGGCAAGGTGGTCTTGACTATTGACGATGATGCTGTTGTCGAGGCTCTTCCATGGAGCCCTCTGCCACATCAATTCCAAGAAGATGCGACATATCTGCTCAGCGGTGGTCTTGGCGGTCTCGGTCGGAGTGCAGCACGGTGGATGGCCTCTCGTGGGGCAAAATACTTCCTGTTTCTCTCAAGATCCGGTGGCTCCAATGCAGATGCGCAGCTTCTGCTCAATGAATTGAAGACGCCGGATGTGATGCGCAGGTCCTTCGGGTTGACGTTGGTGACTCGGTTGCCTTGTATCAAGCGATCAAACCTGATGCCGAAAAATGTCCCCTATCCGGGTTTGCATTCAAGGCGCGATGACATTGATAGTATGTTTCCATGCTCTAAACTTAGGAGAGGCTTACTGATTATATTTCTTCCCAGGATTCTACCTTTGAAACTATGACATCGACCGTCTTCGAAGCTAGCGTCAGGTCCAAGGCACGCGGATCGTGGAACCTCCACGAGGTGCTTCCAAATGATCTCGACTTTTCCACCCTCCCTTCTTCATGCGGTGGTATTATCGGCAACCGTGGCTAGGGCAACTACAACGTAGGTAACAAGTTCCAAGACGCCCTGGCTCACTACCGTCGATCTCGGGACCTCAGTGGAACCTCACTTGACCTAGGCCATATGCTTGATATCGGTGTCATTGCGGAACGAACGGACAATCTATCCACAGCACCCCTCCGAGCGGCATTCGGGAACCAAGCCGTTCCGCAGGACGAGTTCCATGCTTTGCTAGAATCATTGTAATACGCAGAACCCAGATGCCTGCCCACAGACTGTGGTTGGGCTTTGTATTCGTGAACAGTTCCTTGCAGGCAACTTACCAGAGCCTGCCTTCCTATCATATCCGCTATTCACCCATCTCTGGCGCCTTGGTAGCTCTGGGGGTAGCGAGAATAATAATTCTGACCCTGTAAAGTTGTCGATCAAAGGGGCACTAGACAAAGCCGACCCGGAAAAGACACTCCAAATAGTGGTGTAAGGCACCATTGAGAAATTGTCCAACTTGCTAACCATATCCGCCACAGAGATCGATAGCGAGATGGCCCCTTCGGGTTATGGCGTTGACTCCCTTGTGGCTACTGAGATTCGCAACTGGCTGTCAAAGGAGGTAAGTGTGGAGGTTGGGGTGTTGGAGATTGTGGCAGTCAGTCGATTGTCGATTTGGGGGAGCGGGTGCTCAAAGCTAGGGGTTAAGATGTGGCTCTTTTATTTCACAGATATTTTTTCGGGTGACATCTCAACCAGTCTCTAAATGAAAGAAGCACTAGTTAGTTCTTCGTATGTATATAAAAGGTCAAGGGGAGATACAAAACCGAGGCCCTTCCACTTTGCTATAGGATCAGAGATTACAGCATATGACTATCGAGAACTTCACTCTGAACCCCAGAATACCTAGCAACCCAATAACTGTCGACATTCTGCAAATTATTTAGTAGGCTCATAATCTAAATGTAGTCATGTCCCAACTAAACGCTGTTTGAGAAGGAGAAGGCTTGGAGAATGAGAGCTGTTTTGGACAAAAGAGCCGATGTCCTTCTCCTTGAGCTAGTATTCTACCATCAAAAACCGAAGCTCGACGGATTATGGATCTAGTGGGTTGAGGTCCAGTGCTGTCGACTGTTCAACAATTACTGTAAAGGGAAGAAAGGGGTATTTCACAGTCAAGTCCCTATTCAAAATGAGCTGAATATGTCCTAAGTTTAAAGGGGATATCCCTATTCCTGAATCAAAAGGAAAACCCAGTTGGGACGTTGGACGGTGAACTAATACCCATATTCCGAGCAGCACCAAAGGATATTCAGTCGATAACACTTTTCTTATCAGCCCAACTAGGCTGAATGGACCGACACACAGCCTCATAATCCTGGAAGCGCTGAGTATCCTCCACCAGCCCGGGTGTCGTCCAGAACATAGCCCAGTTGCTATCTGCCAGTTTCCAGGTACCCGAAGACCGCTCAAAGTACCATTTATTAACCGGGTTGTCTATGCGACTACGCCAGCAGACTCCATCGGGGAAACATGTGCGCACCATCGCGTTGAACACAACGTCCGCAACACCGCCCGCGCCTTGGCTGCGCTTGAGCACGGCGAATTTATCCAGATAGGGCACCATGCGGGCGGCACTGGCTTCGCTTCCGTCGTCTGGTACGCCTGGCGGCGTTTCCCATGTCAGAATTGCGCCGCCTTCGTACTCACCGGCGACGATGACACCGGCAATACGGCTGTTCACTCGGTCGAGGTAGTTTTGGACGTCGAGTTTGCGGTCAAAGGAGTCTTCGATTAGGGTGACGAGGCGGGGGAGGTCGATGGAAGGGTCGTTCAGTCCCAGTCGTGGTTGGATCTGGGCTGTCCAGGGTTTTGTGTAGGGGTTTGGGAGAATTGTGAGAGGCATTCCACGTTTGACGAAGGTCGTGTGGGAGGTAATCGAACTAAATAAACTGGATCCGCCGCCATTGGAAGTACCACGTCGACCTGGGGGTAGAGAGGATGATAGTAGAGGCTTGTCGGTGAGGAGGTGGTGGATCAATGGGTTGCGCTGCCGACGGGTTCCAACCGCTGACAGGTCTGAAGCAGCCTCTTGTGGTGAACGGGCTGAATAAGAAACTTCTTGTGGGGAGGTGATGATGCCTGAAGATGCTGATGGTAGCATGGCTAATGCTTGTTGGGCTAATCGGAGATTCTCTAAATGGCCATCTAGCACCTCCTCCATCACCTTGGCACCGGGTGACTGGACGGACGCGGTAGGTTGCCCAGGTGAGACAAGCTCACGATTGACAAATTTTGAGACCGGATTGCTTTCCAAGATGGGATAAGTGGCTTCGGTGGATACCTGTTTTAAGGAATCATTGTTTCCAGAGACAGAGTTTCGTGCCTGGAAAAGCTCATCCTTAATTTGATCAAACTCTTGCTCCATGTTGATGAAAACGTGTGATGATTGAGGGCCTTTGAAAGCCGGGATGCCTCCAAGCGCATCGAGAACAATGACACGGTCCAGTGAGACCTCCCTTTGTAGAGTACTGATTCTCTCGACAGTGACTGCTGGATCTTCGTCCGGGTCTGGATTTAATGACAACCCCGCAAATTCTTTCGTCAGTGCAAGGGCCGCATCGTTAGCTGAAACTGTGACAGCTCGTGGGTTTTCCTCCGTATAGGCGATCGGCGGAACAAGTACCACATGGCCATCCCTCAGGGCGCTCAAGAGCACTTTTCGAGATAGCACCGTGGGTGGACCAGACCCCCGCTCAGATATAGATAACACCGAGTCTAGTCTAAAGGATTTTGAGTCCGGCTGCTCATCAACTGCCGCCGATATCCGATTTGCCTGCTCAATGGCTGTTTGTCGCCCGGCAGGGCCGTCCATCTTTCCGGGATCGACAACCACGCAGCATGCCATGCCCAGGCGGACGAGCTGCGACAAGGTCTTAGCCACTCCATTAATCACGAAATCATCGAGCAATTGTGGCGTGGCGATTTTGATCAGGGCCAAGTGCAGCCTTTCGGGTATATCCTGCGCGCGCGGAGCGGGAGTTGTATCTTGCCGGAAGACAGGACTGTCGTACACCGCCCTGGAAGCACCGTAGAACGAGCCCAAATTGACACCGGAAGGCAGAGATGCTGATATGGATTCCTTCGGTGACTCGGTAGATTCTTGGCTCGATTTGGCGGGGCTGGCCTTTAGCCGAGCTAGGTACGACTTAGCTTCACGCTTAGTCGATGCGGAGTTCAGGAGGCTGAGAAAGAATTCCTAGGCCGAACACGCAGCCGTTAGCATATGACTCAGAAAGAAAAAGTGATCTGCCACCTACCCGATCAAGCAATTTCTCCTTTGCGCGGTGGCCGAGGCGATCTTGGCTTTCGCTGCTGCCCGAGAACTCGGCGATTTGCTGGGCTCGGACATTCCGCGCCTGTGCCGATCGCGCCGCAATGGGGTCAGTAGGACGAACGAGATGTTGCTGCAAATTTCTAGTCAATGGATGCTCAGCATTGGCGGGGTAAATCCGGTTTAATTACGTTGACCAATGAGGATTTGGCCGTTCGAGACCAGTTCAACGTTCGGGAGGTCATGGTGTATATTTTGGGATCAATTGCTCCCCAGCAGTTGACGCCAAAGAGCCTCGGATAAGCAAATCCCACGAATCAACAGAGCATATACAAGGAGGAAAGAGAACAATGAATCAAGATCAAACAAAATGGAAAAAGAAAATAATATGACGCATCCTCGGGTATAGCTCACCGCCTGTGGATACCGAGATTGATAAGAGAGCCATTTAAAGAGAGCCATTTAAGATGTCCAAAGGGCTATACATTATTGTCTCTCTTCTGTACAGAGTAGAGTACAGAGTACAAGGATATGAACCAGGAATTAACGGGAATACACTGTGTGCTAAATGCAGCTAGGGCCAAGATATAGGAAAACCCACACGTTAATCGATATAGTTATATATATGTTGTAATCAACCATATGTACCTATGTAGGTACCTGCATGGTTATAAATAGCAAACCTGAGATATACAGCGTAAACCCTTCTTCTTTGGGTCTTTTCAAGCATACCATAAGATACAAAGAGAACAAAAAAAAAAAAGAAACACTCGAAATGTTTCTTTTATTTATTTCATACTACTCCATACATAGTCATAGTGACAAGAATAATAAGAATGTAAAGTAAAAGAAATGCAACCTATGGGAATCATCCCCGCTACTAGAGTGCTCATCGTGAAGATATACTTACATCCATGGATTTAAGTAGCTCTTAGATGGAGGTGTCCATTGGCTTGGCACGATTTGTCGATGATGCTACTACTATGATGTATGTAGTACACCATGAAATTTCTAAATTACTATCAATCCTAGTCTTGAATCAACCGCTTTCAAGCTCTTCCTCACCTACTCTAAAGGGAAGTATAGTACAAATTACATCGTCAGGGTCTTTTAAGAGTTCTAGAACCCAGTAGCCCTTATATAAAAAAACGTAGACCGCTTTAGGGCAAAATGTAACAGTACCGATGGATACATTGTAATCTATAAGAGACCCATGCTAGAATGGGGTACTGATAAGTTCCTGTACTTTATCGGCTAAACTCCCCCGCCACTGCAAAAGTTCCTTCCTCCACGTCTATCAAAAGAATACTTATTTGAAACACGTCTATCAACCCAAGGATTTATCAAATATTGTCAATATTGTCAAATATTCAATCAAGTAAGTGCGCTTGCTCCTTCCCCCTTCAATCCAATCCCGGTCGCAACACCCCTCCTTGCACAAAGCGTCGCAAATTCTTATGAATTGCCAACATCTGCCAAAGGTTGCTCGAAATCACTTTTGATTCCCTATAATCACTAGGAACAACAGATGTCAATTTCAATTTACTATTGGCTCTGTTCAACTATATGGTCCCAATCACTTGCATGAGATTAATCCCCACCGTTCTAGATTAACATCCCTCGTCTACGCCACCAAGCCGGGTACCCCCCCTGCACTCCAATTGATCGTGGCACCCTAGCCTGGTCTCACCCTCAAAAATTTCGATCCCAACCGCTCTGACCCTCGATACCCCGGTCCATTTCTCAATCCTTCACTATGTCCGATCAGAGTGAATACCTCTCCGATTCTATGTCGGGCCAGGACAACGGGCTGAGGCCCTTGTCCAATGCGGACGACTTGTCTCTCGGAAATCCCAACAGCGATCTGTCTCGTATCATGAGCCGTGCTGGCATCCAACTAGCCAATGGGTTTCCGCTCGATGATGACGAGGACGAGGATGAGGACGAGGTGGATGAGGACTATGCTGCGGTTGATCAGGATGACGACGCAAACGATTTCCCATACTGGTTCCGCCGCCCACCCTCCCACAACCGCACAAAGCTGGATGAGCTGCATCCTTTCGTCCAATTGCTCTCCGCATCTAATGTGGAAGATTGTGTGAAAGTAGAGGAAGCTTTCCCCGAGCAGGAGCGTTGCTCTCACGATAAGGTATGGCTACCCGGATTCTGTTAAAGATCCAATTACAATAGAGCACCAACAATCGACTTCGGATGGAGACTTCATTGCTAACACTTTCATAGTTCATTTACCGTCTCACCAGATGCCCCGAGCTTAGTCTGGGCCTCTTCACTCTTCCTTTGCTCGCAGAAGGAGAACCAAAACCCCGCCCAACGCTCGTTGGACACATCATTGCCACTCGCACTTCAGACCCCCTTGTGACAGACCGGTCGATGCGGCTTCCGGCCAACTGGAAAAACGAGCGTTGGTCCGTCGAGGACGGACAGGCCGTTGGTCACGAAGAAGGTGGTAGCACTATTGCCATTCATTCGCTTGCTGTGGACCCACAGCACCAGGGCAAGCAGGTCGGAAGCACACTGATGAAGTCATATATCCACCGTATCAGAGAGGCCCAGATTGCTGATCGCATCGCGATCATTGTTCACGATCACCTGATCCCCTTCTACGAGTCCTTTGGCTTCGAGTCCCATGGCCCTAGCAAGTGCCAGTTCGGTGGTGGTGGTTGGGTAGATATGGTATGTTCTCTTTTTGACCCCTCAGCAAATATATGCTGACCCCAACTAGATCCTGGAGTTTGGCCCCGAGCCTCTTGAGGAGTAAGAAGTTTTTCGGACCGGTTTTCTTTTAATTTCCTTTTTCTTTTTTTCCTGCATCTTTTCGGCTTGGGGCATGTTAAACCACTTGACAGTTTCAACATGTCTTTTATTACGCACATCCACGTTTTTGTCTCATCTCAAGGGTTTATCCTAGACGGGCTTTCAAGAGAAAAGCAATGGAGTTTCTTCGGGTGGTGGGATTACTTTTATGAATCTGGGCAGAAACGGCTTGGGCTTCCCGAAACGGTCACAAAAAGACTTGTGTACCATAGTTGACGACAATGCAATGTATATGAGCATGACGTTGAATTATGGACAGAGATAGATATCAATATACAAACATGCCATATATATATAAATTCTCGAGCTTGGAGTTTTCGATCCTTTTGTTCCATAATATATCACGTGACTCGCCTATATCACGGTTCGTCCAATCGTGGTCCCCGCATTTGTCCTCCGCCCGGCAGAAAAAACGGACTGCCAACAATTTTTTCGTGGAGAAAAACCCACTCTATCAACACCCATTCACTCACGGCATTACTTCAAGAGTCATTCCTTATTTGACTCCTGACTTGTGCCCATCATGAAGACGACGTGGAAGGATGTGAGTGAATTTGCCGACTGCCCTTTTGCGCCAGATTTGACTGAGGAGATTGCTGATGTGTTTTTGACCGCTTGGTAGATTGCGCCTGTGCCGACACACCAGGAATTCCTGGATATTGTCCTGAGTCGCACTCAGAGACAGCTTCCCACACAGATTCGTGCTGGTTTCAAGATCAGCCGTATTAGAGGTATGCTCCCAATCATTTTGTCTGATCCGACATGGCGGCCAAAATGGAAAAAAAAAGTTATCGGCGGTTATCGATAAAGCACAATCGCTGATCGAATTTTTTTTCCATCAGGGTTCTACACCAGAAAGGTCAAATATACCCAGGAGACTTTCGGTGAAAAGTTCCAGCACATCCTCGATGGATTCCCTCGTCTGCAGGATATCCATCCTTTCCGTAAGTTTTACTCCTATGGCGATTATGGCTGTTCGGGTGGGGTCTAATATCCACCAGACAAGGATTTGATGAACACTCTTTATGATGCCGACCACTTCCGTATCGCCCTTGGTCAAGTCTCGACCGCCAAGCACCTGATTGAAACCGTCTCTCGCGATTACGTCCGTCTCATCAAGTATGCGCAGTCTCTGTTCCAGTGCAAGCAGCTCAAGCGCGCTGCTCTCGGTCGCATGGCAACCATCACCCGCCGCCTGAAGGACCCCCTCGTCTACCTGGAGCAGGTCCGCCAGCACTTGGGTCGTCTGCCCTCGATCGACCCCAACACTCGTACTCTCCTGATCTGTGGATACCCTAACGTCGGAAAGTCAAGCTTCCTGCGCAATATCACCCGCGCAGACGTTGATGTTCAGCCCTACGCTTTCACTACTAAGAGTTTGTTCGTCGGCCATTTCGATTACAAATACCTCCGTTTCCAGGCCATTGATACCCCCGGAATTCTGGACCACCCTCTGGAGGAGATGAACACCATTGAAATGCAATCGATCACCGCTGTTGCTCACTTGCGGTCCGCTATCCTCTACTTCATGGATCTTTCCGAGCAGTGTGGATACTCCGTCGGCGATCAGATCAAACTTTTCCACAGCATCAAGCCCTTGTTCGCCAACAAGATTGTGTTCATTGTCGTTAACAAGATTGATGTGCGCCGTCCTGAGGACCTGGAGCCTGAGTACCAGGAGCAACTGCAGGAGATCCTCAAGGCAGAGGATGTCGAGATGCTGCAGGCTTCCTGCACCACCACCGAAGGTGTGACTGCCGTCAAGAACGCCGCCTGTGACAAGCTCCTCGCTGAGCGAGTCTCCCAGAAGCTCAAGTCTGGCTCCAGCGCTGCCACCCCCGGCAGCCGTCTCGGCGACGTTTTGTCCCGTATCCACGTCGCTCAGCCCATGGGCGGTCTGCGCGAGACCTTCATTCCCGAAGCCGTCAAGGACCTCAAGAAGTACGACAAGAACGACCCCGACCGCCGGAGACTGGAGCGCGATATCGAAGAGGAGAACGGCGGTGCCGGTGTCTACAACTTCGACATGCAGCGCGACTACACCCTTGGCAACGAGGAGTGGAACCATGACAAGATCCCCGAGGTGTGGAAGGGCAAGAACATCTACGACTTTGTGGATCCGGATATCGAGACCAAGCTCGCCGCCCTTGAGGAGGAAGAAGAGAAGCTCGAGGCAGATGGCTATTACGAGTCCGACGAGAGCGTGGAGGACGTCGAAGACGCCGACAACCGCTTGAAGGCCGATCTCATCCGCGAGAAGCGCGTGCTGATGCGCAACGAAGCCAAGATGCGCAAGTCGCTCAAGAACCGCGCCGCCATCCCCCGCAGTGCCAAGTCCAAGAAGCTGTCCGAGATGACCAGGGGTCTGGACTCCGCTGGCTACGACAATGGTGCCGCTGGTTCTCGTGCCCGTGCCGCCAACCAGCCTCGCGGCCGTACTACTATCCGTGAGCCCACTGCCGACCCCGACGCTATGGACGTCGACGACAACCCACACAAGGCCCTTGCTCGCGCTAAGAGCCGTGCCCGCAGCACACCGGCGACTGATCGTCGTCACGATGGTGTCACCACCTTCAGCAACCGCGATAAGGCTGAGCGTATGGCTAAGCTGGGCCAGAAGAAGATGAACCGTATGGCTCGTGCTGGTGAGGCTGATCGTCACACACCCGCCTCTCTCGACAAGTGGTTGGTATGTTTTTTTTTTCTTCTTACATTATCCTTTTTCTCGGTATTATTTGCTAACTCTTTTCTCTCCAGTTCGCCGGAAAGCGTGGTATGGGCAAGACGGATCGTCGTTAGAAGCCCCGCTGATGTCGATGCGGCTGAAACGAGACCCATTCTTAATCATTGTCCATTGGTTTCGATACCGGGTGCAAAATGGTGTTGGGCGTTTTTATGTTTCAATTTTTTTCCCCCTCCGAGTTTCCTCGTCCAAATGTTCATTTGACGCGCATTTTTGGTTTCCACGACTGTTTACTGTGGATGATTTCTATGTTTATTTGACACAGTAATGATTTGTGGGAGTTTGTTCTGGTCAATAGGACGGAAAAGTTCTAGACATGATGATCTTGCATATACCGCCAATACAGATGATCTTTGGTTTTATTTGGTACAACATCCAGGAGACTCCAGTCCTGGGGATGTCTTTTGGGTCTTCATTATTAATCAGCCTTTCTCGTACTTATGTATGCCCCAGGTTGTAACCTTAAGATCATGCCCTGGTGGGTAGACACAGGTGGACCCTTGTGATAGTCTCACCTGTGCGTAGCTGATTACGTAGAGCAGGCGGTTACGCCCATCGGGGGTGCATTGGTCACTAGGTGTTTGGATGGAGTGCACTGACCAGTGGGCTGATAGTAAATAGCAATGTTCGCCAATCATATGATTCTTTATGAGTTTGAGGGTAGCCCGGAATTTAAGTAGCACAACTTGAAAAAAGGAAATACTCAACTGATACCCATGTGATGTGTGATGGAAGGAGAGGTAGATATCCCGAGAAAAGTACGATACTAGTAGCACCGAAGGTGGCACAGATGAATCAAACTTTAATGCAACAAACATAGTGCTTATTAGAGGGTTGATATATACATGGGCTCCCATCTTCTGAGTATAGACAGTATGGTAGCTCGACTAAATTTAGGTTTATCATCTAATAGTGTATTCTAAGCATTACTCGAACCATAAATCCTAAGTACACTGACAGAATCATGGTAGAACAGGGCAGATCCCAGTAACAATGCCTATTATGGAGGTGGGACAGCCCACCTCCAGATGTCGGCTACTAACCGAGCACCGGCATACAAAGGAATGACGGCATCAGTCATGTGCTAAACAAGAGTAAAGCGCGATTTTCCTAGCTGGACCCTTCCTGACAAAAAGTCAGATTGGAGACAAGCATTGCCACCTGTGCAATGGGATAGTTACATTTCATGGAGGGAGGCAGGGTTGCTTATTTTGGTTGTCTGGCATGCTTGTACATAAGTACATACATAATACTCTAGACGTCATTGTGTCTATAGGGCCACGTTGGCTTTAGAAGATTAGTTTAGATGTCTATGTACGGAGTAGATTGGAGGGAGTGAAGATCTAATATTTTCAGTTAACCTCTAAACTATTGCCCTACATTCTTAAATCAAACAACGTCAAGCACATAACTCATTAAAGATGATGTGCTGTTTTTTGGGACACAAAAACCTCGGAATGGTTACACTTTATATTCATTGTACCACGTACTCCGTACAGCATACACAAAGCCTGCCGGCCTTGCCCGAGAAAACCAGTCCAATCTAGGGTTGCATGAAAAAATCAACCCACACGGGCATACGGAGTTAATGCTAATAAGGGTCGCTAACCAGAGGAGGTTTAGGGTATCCACAGAGTTTTCACTGTTTTCACTCTTTTAGTGGTATGATTAATATTAGCACTTGCAAGTCAGAGTTTTTTTCCCTACTTTTTATTATGGGTCTAGGCCGAACAAGGGATGCCGAGAAAGACATGCCGAACATACCAAAAGGCAACAGGGAAACGGAATCTTGCTCGAGTTAAGTATTCATGAGTATGTATTCGTGAATATCCATAAAGAATTTATAAAGTTTCAATCCTTATATATATTATACATAATTATTATTGTAGAAAGTACATGTGTGCTTTCGGCCATGGTCGGCAGCTATCCCGACTCGGGATTGGAATCGGCTCGGGATAGAAGGCACATTCGGTGTGCCGATTGAGAAAAAGTGGAGCCCAAAATCAACATATCGGAAATCTCTGCGCGGGAGTCGACCAAATCCTCACCGGTAGTGGGTCTACGCTCTTTTCCATGTCCAACTTAGGTTGTTTCTTATCAGCACGTTTCAACTCACTGGAATTTGTTCAAAGATATAAATGGGACTCTCTCCCTCTGTGCTCAGAGCTTCTTTTTCCTTTGGTGTTCTTGATGTAGCTATAAACTGCAATCAGATGCTCTTCAGCTCTTAATTTTAACTATGATCAGCGCCCCTATGACCGGGTAGAGAGTAGCGCCCACGCATTATGACCCACTCTCTCTTGGTATTAATACTTTTTTTTGTTTTTTTTTGTTTTTCTTTTTCTGGTTGTCACCTTCTTTCTTAGGGAATCCACCCGGTTTCAGTTGCCTTTCGTTTCCGTCTATATTCTATAGGGTAAATTGTCATGCCTGCACAGTTTTCAATCTATTCATACTCTGGTACCTCTATAAACGCGGCCCCAGGACCCGATGTGCAGGAGATCACCTGGCC